TAGTGATAGAGATGTGAGGATGTGGAGTTACAGAACAAACTTCATGGGAAGCATCTGGTGTTTGTTTTAGCAAAAGTTCTAAGTGGATTAGATATTATTAAAAATGCATTCACCTTAATTCTGTGCCCTCTTCCTGCCTCCCCACACTCTGTGTCTATGGTTTGGAAGGGACTAGTTCTCATCCACAGGTTCCACGTATATACATATGAACAAACTTGGGCCATTCAATGGTTGATGTGAGAAATTTTCTGAAATCATAGGAAAGGTGCTCTTGTCCCTCTGAATTCTGCCTCAGATGGGCTGTAAATGAGTTTCTAGGAAGAGTGTTGGCTAAAGTCTCTAGGGCCCAATATGTCTTTCCATTCAAAAGCTCCAATATTTGTTACTGAAAGGGTTTCCATTATTTTTGTGACCACAAAGACAAATTATATTCATAAAATCTTGGCCATGGATACTGCCAGTGACTAGACTGCTGGGGTTATTAAAGTCATTTTTTTTATATTAAATGAATACAAGAAATTGTAGGTACCTCAGGATGAAAACTACAAATCTAATATGCCCCCAGTGGTCTTGAAGGAGTATCCTAACTATGTATTGAGGGTGAAACCTTTAATATAGGGTCATCTAAAGGTTATACAGCAGAGAATCAAAGATATTTCAGATAGGACTGAAGCACTACTGAGGGGTAAGAAAGAAATGAAGCCAAAAATCAAGCAATTACTTAGTCCCTTTGTGGATATTCTATTTTGTGCATCAAACAATATGGCAGCCTTTGGAAGACTGCCCATGTTGTGAGTACTTTGTGGATGGACATGGCACTGAGTCTTTTTTTCTACCTTCTGGCTCCATTTTCATTTTGGTTAGCAAAGTCGGAGGGCTAGAAAAGGCAAAATTATGTCAGTGCCTTAAATAAATATCATGAGCCCACTATGTGCAAAGAACGTGGCCAGATGTTGCTGCCCCAAACACTCCTCAGCTTCTATCCATTATTTTTGTCCTGTGATGGGATGGAATGTCAATGCAGCTGAAAGAAAATGCAGTCTGCACATGTGGGACATGAAGAAGTAAAAAACCATACTGATGTGTATGGGACTCCTGACTGCTGACGAGCCATTTCATTTCTTTGAGTCTTAGCTTTTATCTTCGATAAATGAGAGTGATAGAACTAATCTTTGCAGGTCATGATAACTGTCACAGGAGACAGCACATGGACCTGGAAGACAGAAATGTCTGTAAAGGAGCTTGCCAGCTCTATGGTGAGGACAAAACCTTGAATATGGCCAATCAACAGCCCACAGAGCAACCCATCTGACTATTGCCATTGTCTTCATGATAGCTCTTGTTCATCCTTCACATTTCTTGTCATCATAGCATCTCATACATACTCTCAACTACATGCTTTGGTGGGGGAAACAGCACCACTAAACCAGAGAGAAAATATTGGTAATAGCTGAAGGAGAAAGACATACAACATTTTGGAAAGAGATATCCAAGATGGAGTGGGCTCAGGTGGCACCCTGATGTTGCAAATGACTGCATAGTGAGGCTGTGTCTCAAACACAGCTACATTTTGAAGAGGTGGAGTTAGGCCTGCAATGTTCAAATCTTGAGGGGGGGGGAATACAATACTACCCTTATCACATGTATACATTCACACTCATTTTTAAAAAAGAAATCCAAGATATATATGAATTATCAACAACTCTGTAAGAGTTAGCATTATTCTGGGTAAAAATATGTACATTAATACAACCAAAAACAATAAAAAACAACCAACAAGTAAGTGAGATGAGAGGGATACACGCTACATCCTAGCAGAGGATGAAAGAAAGTGGCCTGAAGAGGTGATGGATGAATAAGCTGTCCAAAGACTCCGGTGTTCAGACACACACCAGATGGGCAAGGATCTGAGGACAAAATGAAAGTAGCTGATTAATTTTGCTGTTTCTGATTGAATTTGTTGTTTCTCCAGGGATTTAGACCTGCTTAGAATGAAATGGGGACAAGGAGACCAACTACTTTTGGGAGCAGTCCAATGGCAGTTTCAGCAGGCTGACAGATAGTTACCAAGCTTAGCTTGAGCCACCCCTTCTCCTTCAGAGGCTCTGGGCCCAAAGCTCCCTCATATTTAGATGGGCACAGCCAGAGCCTCTTTTGCTGTAACTCTGACTGGTTCATCTCAGCAATTGATCTGAAGTCACCTGGAAGCATCCCCCCCCCGCCCTCTTTTATATAACAAATTTCTAAAATTTGAAATTTAGTATTCTTCTATTGGATTACCCAATTTCTTTCTTGTTTTCTTAAATGGCATGATTTTCATATTCTATTCCCTCCTAGCTACTTTTATTTTGTCAGATCTGTTTTTAAAAACACCTGGTAAGTATTCTCACTGGCTAAATTAGGAATGCTTCTCTCTGTAAATAGGACAAATAATCTATTAAAATTATCACAGTTTTATTTTCTTTTTTTAGAATACAGATGGTCCATATTTGTGGTCAGGTGACAGCAACCTACTGTTGTATAACAAATGACCTCAAACTTAGCAATTTAAAAGCTTATCATAGTTTCTGATCTAGGAGTGGTGTGGTTGGGTTGCTCATTGTCATATGTAAATTAGACTGTCATTTTTAGACTCTAGAGCCTGAAGATTTGATGGGAACTGGACAATGGCTTCTAAGCTCACACACAGAGCTGAAGGCAGGAGACATTAACTGAACCTCTTCTCTGTGATCTAGTTTCCTTCAGTGTCTCTCATTACCCAATTTTGAGAGTCACATAGATACACTTTTGCCATATTTCACTAGTCACACAGACCAGCTCTAGTAGAGGGAGGGATCATTTTGATCATTCTGTATACAGAGGTATTCAATTATTTTTATTTATTTTGGTGTTGGGAATCAAACCCCGAGTGCCCCACATGCTAAGGAAACACTGCCACTGAGCCTCAGGCACAGCACGGTGCTGTCCATGGTGACAGTACCTGCCAACCATTTCCATGTATCATCTTACTTAATGGTGCTGAAATCTTCCCAAGCTGATACTATAATCGCTTTCTACAGTTAAGACAAGTGATGCTTAGAAACATTAATTAAGTAACTTAACAGCATCACTGCTCTGAGACCAACAGAGAAAAATTTGACTCTAGGAGAAAAAGCTTATTTTACTACCCTTTCCACATGTGGACATATAATCCTTCACAATCTACTTCTGCAAATCACTTTTGACTGTAATTACAGAACTTTTTACTTCACTTCTGTTACCTTACTAAGCATGAAAAGGTGTCTGCCACTTTGCTTCACTGTTTTTGTGTGACTTCATTTCATTCATACTAAAGTCATCAGCAAGTCTTCTATTTGTGAACAGGACACAGTGTCATTAAGAACTCAATTTTTTTGTGACAAAATTTATGTAGCTTTGTAACTAAGACTTTTAAGAACCAAAAGCTCAGTTTGTTCCCCATCCATGCAGATATGAATGTGTAATTGGGCATATAAAGAACTGATTCAAATATTTTAATTTGTTGCTCTTTGCTTTGGTGATATTTTGTTTGTGATCTAATAAACAAAACTTGGCTGAAGTTCAGACTGCAAAGCTAGCCACAGCCATAGAGGCCAGGCCGTGATGGTACACATCTTTATCCAAGCAGTCACACTAGTTAGCAACAGAGGATAGTCAGTGGTGGTACACACCTTTAATCCCAGCACTCAGAAGATAGAGCAGATGGGTCTGTTAGTTCAAGGCCACCCTGAGCTACATGAAATTGATCCAGTCTAAAAGAGAAACAGAGATCGTAAAAAGGTGACCTCAGCATTTGTGATCCCACACCTTTAATCCCAGCACTAGAGAGTATAAGGTGGGAGGAGACAGGAGCTGAGAGTCTGAGAGGCAATCTGAGATTTGGAGGGTGGATGCCCTGACCTGTTCTAGGACCCAGCTTGTCAGTGGAGTAAGAATACAGATTCGCCAGACAGATGAGGAGCTAATAGAAGCCATCACACTTTCTGCTGCTTCTGAGAAGCAGCAGCCTTTGAAACCAAATGTCTATCTTTTCCCACCCATCTCCAGACATTCACAGATGGTGCTGGATAGAGGTCAACCAGGTTACTGAGTTGTATTTCCCCTATCACCAGGGTTAGCACAAGAACTCCAGCCAGTTGGTGTTGGAGACTTCGGAGAGAAGTTGGCAGCAGTTGCCTGTGTTGGAAGACTGGTGAGAAAGATGGTGTTTTGCTAATGCCAACAAACAGGAGCTACTCAGGCCTGTATGCTTCCTCTCGTGGATTCGATGAGACCACTTCCATTGAAAACCTTGAAACAGAGACAACCTAGGAGATGAGGTTTCAGATCTCATGAAAATCCTCATTTATTCAAGTTTATCATCTTAAGAAACTGAACACGACACTAAGCAGAATTTATACACAAGGAAACACTGTAGTCTTCTGTGCACCTGAGTGTGGGAGCCGAGACTATGTCTGCTCCACAGACCACCGTGAAGCTGACAAAGGCAGACAGATCTGATGCTGTGAAGGGCAAGGGAGACGAGTCTCACCAGTGCTCTAAGGTCAGGAGAAAGGGGACTGTCTGAGCAGACTGGGTGGTAGAGGACAGCAGCAGTGCAAGGGCAAAGGACACAGAAGGAAGCTCACGCAGCCACCATGCAAGAGTGACAGACAGGAGGCTACAGCTACTTGCAATGGGTTATGAAAATCAAGCCAAAGCCTGCAAATCCTTGCACACACAGGGCACAAGGATTCCTGAGAGGCTGGATAGGTAATGACATGATGTTTGCTTCCAGAATCTGCAGACTGGGAGCACAGGAAAAGCTTGGACCGATTCTATTAGAATTGATGCAGGTTCATTTTCCTTCTCTCATCTTTCCTAGTGTGTCATATTCTGGTTCCTAATCACACTCAATCATGTGCCATTCTTTCTCATTCTGTAGAAACCACCCTATAGCAGAATTCAGGCATAGGAAGTGAAACTCAGCACCATATGGAATATAGTGTTAACAGCCCAGGCTTTAATAAAACACCATAACACATTGACCAAGGATTTAACATAGAAACGGCTCCCTTGCATGCATGTGCTTACCCAGTATCCCTTAAGGCTATTAAAACTTTTATGTGGAACATAACATTTTATTTACACAACATGATGACTCTTACTGTAGGTTGCAGCCGCCCTCTGGTGGAAATGGGCAGTGGTTTCAGGGTAGCCACAGCAGCCTGGCTGTGTGGTTGCTTGATGCTTCTAGAATCTGCCTACAGTTTGCTCTTCAGATCCACCAGTAATTCAGCCATCCACTGACACTTCATAATTAATACCTTTCTCTTCCAAGAGTGGGTTTAACTTTCTACACACTGATCAAGTCAAGTGAATACTTCTCCAAAAAAGATCTGGAGTGGTTTGGAGCAGGCACTCTGAAGGCAGACTAGCTGAGTTTGAATCCAGGTGGCACACTGACTCCCACCTTGACCTGTGGTGAGCTGCTGAGTCTTTGTCATAGACAAACAGGCAATCTAGTAAGAAGCCTTCCTGTATGGCTGGTAGGCTGGTTAAAGGACATAGGGAAGGGCTCATAACAGTCCCACACAAAGTAGTGACTCTACTGAGATTTGTTTTATAATATTAAAGCACTGTAATGTCCAAACAACTGACTGAGAGTGTCTGAAAACTTTTCAAGGATGAACACCAAGTAGTAGGAAATGCTGGTTAAAAACAAAACAAAACTGTTGTCACTAGATAACTTTGAACTTGGCTGATTCCCATGCATAGGACAGTTTTCTTCAAGGATAAGCAATTGTGCCTTCAATCTTAGGTACAAGTGGGCCTAGCTGGCTTCAGGCATGTTTTATTTATTTAAAATATTTTGAATTATTTTATCTGTACTTATGTATGTTTTGGCTGAATATATGTGTGTGTACCACACAGGGCTGTTGCTTACAGAGGCCAGAAATGGGTGTCAGGTCCCCTGGAATTAAAGGTACAGGTAGGTGTGAGCTGCCATGTGGGTGCTGAGAATTGAACCCAGGTCCTCTGGAAGAGCAGCCAGTGCTCTTAACATTTGAAACATTTCTTTAGCCCTTTAGATCTGTTCACAAGGACTATTTACAGATTACAAAAGTGAGATGACTACCATTTTCATTATTTTGTTATATTTAAATATAATAGAAATGATTATCCTTTAGTATAACTATCCACCACAGTTTGTTCGAAAGGAAAGAGTCATTCAGGGAGACAAGGTGGCGTTTTCTTGCTTTGGAGATTTAAAGGTTATTTTTGAAGAATGGAATGAACACACTTTATCTCAGCTCAGTTAAGAATGAAAACAGCTTACTACTCCTTTTCTGCACTTAGGGATTATTGTCCAAATGTGATCCAGTAATTAGTAATTAGTGTAATTTAACCTGGAAGTAAAATTAGTTCCCCTTGTTAATAAGTTCTGTGAGAATTTCCTGGACATGCACCTGCTCCAAATAGCAAATGAAGTGATAACATTTAATAAGCAGAGTCTTTAAATTAAACTGGAAATGTTAAGAACAACGAAAAGTTGAAGCAGTGAAGGACATTCCTAGCCCATCATCAGAGGCAGTGAAGGACATCATTAGCCCATCCTTGGAGGCAGTAAGGCATATTCCTAGCCTGTTCTTGGAGGCAGGGAGGGGCATCCCAAGCTTGTCCTTGGCATTTTAGCCTCCCACTGCTCTGGAGAGTCTCCTATCTCTGACAGGCTCACTGGCTTCCTCTTGATTTATCAAAAACAGCTCTTCAGGTACCAAGGTGCCAAAACTCACCTCTATGCCTTAGAGGGCACTGGTTTGCTTGCAATAAAGGTTTCACAATGAGAAGAACAACATTTATTCATTCAGGAAACACTGAGTGCCTGAGAGGACCAGAAATTCTACTAGTCAGAACATATGGAATGTAAGTAGCAAACATAAAGTTGCAGGACATCAGCTAATGGTATTCCCATATGTCACTGAATGAGTGACAGTTTTCAGTGTTTCATTAAATGTGTATTAGGAAGTGAACCAAAGTTATGACATATAAACAACGAAGCCAGGAATGCCAGAATTGCTTTCAGCAGAGCTTTTGGCTGCCTGCAGCTGCTGATGTTCTCAGACAGCAGGGCTAGTTTTCAACAGTGCACCTCAGGCCCGGTGGTGTGAATAAGTCACAAAGTCATTTCTGACTCTGAGATTTAGGTTTTCATTTGCTAACTAAAGCATCCAAAGAAACAAATCATGAAACACTGATTATGAATCCAAATATTTCACAGCATGGGAATAGCCCTGACTTCTCCATCAGTGACAGGAAGAAGTTTCTGGAAGGCAGGTCTAGAGAGGCAACTGATGCAGAGCACAGGTTAGCCCTGATGTCAACACAGCTACTGTGGCTCAGCATGGATTATGCAGGGCAGCAAAGGGCAGGCTGGTGAGCATGCAGGGCTACTTCTTCATGTCCAGGATGGCACTTCCAGGCCCACGGCTCTTGGCACTGCAGATGTTACAGTACTGTGCAGGAGTGCTCTGAAAAGAAATAAAAAGCACAGGTTAAACAACTGTATTCTTTCATATCCAGAAATATGATTACAGCATCATTCAGGGGGTAGAGGGCTGTGAGGTGATTAAATATCATTCCTTGCTCTGGAGAAGACCTTTTAGGTCTGACATGTTCATTCTACTGTCACTCTGCAACTCAAAGGACACCAGAGAGCTGGGGAGATAGCTTAGTTGGTAAAGTGCAAGAACAAGGGCCTGAGTTGAAGTCCTAGAACCTATGTTAAAAACCCAAACCCAGCTGGGCGGTGGTGGCACACACCTTTAATCCCAGCACTCAGGAGGCAGAAGCAGGTGGATCTCTGTGAGTTCGAGACCGGGCTGGATCGACAGCCTCCAAAACAATACAGAGAAACCCTGTCTCGTAAAAAACCAAAAAAAAAAAAAAAAAAAAAAAAACCCAAACCCACCCAGGCGTGGTGGCCTGTGCTGTAATCTAGTGCTGGGACATGTAGACAAGTGGGTCCCTGGGCTCACTGCTTGACCAGCCTGGATGACTTGATGAGAAGACGCTGTCGCAAAAGGGATGACTGAGAAATGACATCTGAGGCAGTCATCTGGCCTCTCTGTGTATGTACAAACACATGCACATGTACTTACACACACAGACACACACCACATCACACACGCAAAATAAAAGGACACCACAGCAGAACCAGCCTTCTGTAGCTTGGGGCTCACAGTATCATTCCACACAAGGCAGGCTGAGAAAATTCCACTGGTTTGACAGTGTTTTCTACCACACGGGCCTCAGCCCAGTAGTCAAGTCATTAGCATGAATTCACTCAAATGAGTAAACTTTATGTTAACTATGGTATACTGTATATTTTACATTTGGAAAGTAAACAATATACAATATACCTTTGTGACAAAAAGAAAAAAAAACAAGGAAAGTCAACCCCTGAGAGGATTCTAAGACCACTTTCAGACACCAGAATCCACAGATACTCAATTCCTTCTGTTCTGGTTAGCTTTATTTTTAATTTTTTTCCCTCAATAAGACACAAGTTGTAGTTACCAGAGAAGAGGAAACCTTTGTTGAGGAACTGGCCTGTAGATGTCTGTGGGGCATTTCCTTGATGAATAATTGATGTGGGAGGGTCAAGCCTTGCAGGCAGTACCACCCATAGGCAGGTAGTCCTAGGTTATATAAGAGAGCAGGCTGACCAGGCAAATATCCATGTTCACCCATGATCTCTGCTTCAGTTCTGGCCTCTACATTCCTGCCTTAATGTCAGTCACTCCAAGATGGACTTGTAAGCAATAAACACTTTTTTGACCAAGTAAGGCTTTGTTAGTGTTTTATAGAAGTAACAGAAAAGAAAATTGGATCACTGTTACATACAGAATCATATAACCTAATTATATTCCCTGTGTATTTAAAACATCTCCAATTACTTACAAAACTAAATACAATGTAATGCTGTATAAATAGTTACACTGTTTTGTTTAGGGAATAAATACAAGAAAGGAAAAGTCTATATACTTAGTACAATATAGCCTTTCTTCAATATTGCTGATGCAAGGTTGGTTCAGTCCATGGATGCAGAACCCATGGATTCTGTAAGAGCTACAGGACCAACTGTCTTGTCTATTAGAATCAAGAAAGCTGGAGCCATAAGGATGATGGCTTCTAGTTGTGATCATTCTGATTTGATCTGTTTCTTTTTAGCTGACAGGTGTCGGGCTGACAACGTACCATGCTTGGCATGGGTAGGCACTCCTTGTGGAACATGTGTCGACAGTGGAAGACCACCACACTGAAGGGCTTAGCCGCATCTGCAGAGGGTTGGGGAGAGAGGAAAAGAATTAAGTGCAACAGGCAGATCAGGAAATCGTTCAGCCAGCCCTGAACAGATTTCCCAGCAACAGGCTGTTTAGAGAGAGATCTTAGGTACCTGTACCACTGACCATACCTGTCTGAGGCTTCCTTACAAAAGCATCTTGAGGGGAGAAACCCAAGTAAGCACTGGTACTAGAATCACCTTGCTATGAACTACAGTTTACAGGTTACTTGCTTGGCTTCAGCACAGTTACCAAAATGATCAGTACAGTGTAACACAAAACATAAAAGACCCAGAGACAGATACTGGGTTTAACCTGAAGACCAAAGAAACAAAGCAGCCAAGCTACCAGAGAGCTCTCACCTCTAAAAGGACTGTGGCATTCCTATTCTCAACATGGTTGGAGAATGAATGCCTCATACTGAGATCTTGTTCCTGTCTTATATACCTCCCTAATTCTGGGTTTAAAGGCATGTGATTCCAGGTGCTGAGATCATATTTGTGTGAGCTGTTTCTCTTTAGGACTGGATCAATCTTGTGTAGATCTGGGTGGCCTTGGACTCACAGAGATCTGTCTACTACCATCTAGCTTCTGGCTGCTGGGATTAAAGTTATGTGTCTGGCTTTTACGGCTTGTGGTTGACTTTGCTTTCTGAATCCTTAGACAAGCTTTAATAAATCATAAATAATATATTACTACAGTGCAGGATGAATTCACAGCAAATATTGTGAAGTTTATTTTAAAAACTAGAATGCATGTGTCCCCATGTGTGTCCTGACCATAGTTCCAATACTGAAATCAAGTGTGTAGCCTGATAAAATGTTTCAGTTCACGTTACCTTTGCCAAGACCTCTCAGTGAGGCTGGAGGCAGAGCTGGGTCAGGACCCTAGGCTCTGCATTTTACTACACTTCTGTTTGGTCAGGTCCTCTCATCTGCTTCTGTTGTGTGGCCAAATTCATTCTGATAAGACCTAGTGCCCTCCACAGGAGAAGCTAAGGATTTCACTTTACAGAGATCCATGACCCCTTCCACTGAAAGGCCACCTAAAGCACCATGGTTACAGAAGCACTTAAAACTCCGCTCCCTCGGGGACAGAGGTTTTGTAAAATTATTCTCATGATCCTGTGCTATGGAATACTTCCTAATATCAGCTAACTGAGCAGTAACACCACTGTACTTTTCCATGCAGATTTGTATATTAAAGTATCCTCACAACCATGCTTTAATTTCTACTTTCAAACTATGGGCTTCCTTTCTCATGTTGGAATGATCTTTCGATAAAGAACATTTTCTTATGTATGATGATCTACCAAGAAACAGGGACAGAAGCCTCTACCTTTCAATGAGTCAGTCAGAATTGATGCTGACTACTGTTCCCACCAAGGTGGGCTGTGGTCTGGGCGCCTAGACCTACAGTGAAGATGAAGCCACTCATCAGCTGCTCCCCAGATATCCACATGGGTCTTTGCCCTTAGAATTGCAATACATGGACAGTTAAGTCTTCACTTTGCTTTACTTTTGATGAATATCAAAGAAGGATGCCTAGCCAGATCCATTAGCATCACCTTATTAGAAATAGCAGCTTTCAGGCACAAACTCCCTGGAACTCTGAGCCCTGTGGCAGGGCCAGCACTGTGGATTCTTGCAAAGATCCCAGATGCTGACACATTCTGCTCTGCAGTCAGCAGCAGCAGAATTCATTGGAGCAGGGAAGGGGTTCAAGTCCTTCCTCAACTGTAAAGTAACATAATTTTACAGGCACTCATCAGCTAATTTCAAAATCTTAACCTCACCCATCATAAACACGTGATTTTCCCTTTAGGCATCTTACCTGTTGGGAGGATGGGAGATAGGCATGATTCACAGATATTCTCTTCTGTAAGAAAACACACATACACTGTGGGTTAAGCACATTTCTGTTTGCTTGGCCTCTCTGGAAAGCATGGCACACAGCTCTGAATGTTCTTTCAGCTGTACCCACCATCGACCAGAACGCCTTTCATTTGGGTTCGGTGCATTTTCTTCAGTAACGACAAAGAGTCAGCTACGAGGATTTTCTTGCAGCCTTCCCGAAGCAGAATCTAATGTACATGTTTAAAAAGAAAAGACCAGTTAGTAGCTCAAGCATCAGGAGTGTCTAACTGAGGAATCAGAAAATGTCAAACACACTTACTGGTTCTCTTGCTTGCCAAACATTGTCAAGTGAGCTGGGCATTATTCTTGCCAATTTATTTGTTTTTATGAGCATATTATGGTATTGGTAAATCAATCACATGACGTGACACATTCAGGACCAGAACTGATGATTATAGTTCTGCCCCTATGGCTTCTTGTGTTTGGTTTTGACGAGCAAGACTGCATGATTTTAATATTCTCCTGTTCACTTTGATATGACTTGTGGAGAGCCTCTCCTCTTCCTTTTTATTTTTATGAAATGTGTTTTAATATACAAGAATACTCCTGGCCCAACCTCCCAAATACTGGGTTTATAGGCATGTACCACACTGCTTAGGTTTAACTTCCCTGTCAGATTCTACTAGAAATGTAACATATTTTGGTTTTCTTTTAAAAAGATGTTTACTTGTTTTTTTTTTAAATAGAAATCACATAGCATACATAAAAAAGAAGAAAAAATACACCAATGAAGTTATCTACAAAAATACTGATGCTGGCAAACTTTCCAAAAATTGGTTAGCGATTATGTGATGCTTTTGTCACCCAACATCAAAGTAACAAACTCGTTTCAGCCCCTCTGGTATAGGATCAGGAAACATGGCTACACACTCCAGGGCACACTGCCTGGGCAGGAATGGATGGAGGATACAGCCCGTGGAACAGACACAGACCACAGGTGCAAAGAAAACAGCAAAGTCTAAGGACTAAGGACTCTTCCCCTGGGACTGCATTTCCATGCAGGTACACCCTGCCTGCTCACAGAAAGCATTTGCTAGGTACATTTTCCGTTGTCAAGAGTCAAGAACCCATGGGAAGGAAAACTACAGTGATACTTTCACCCAATTCTACCAAAATCCAAAGCTCTAAACCAGAAAAATATGAAAAAATCCTAAGTGTAACTGACATGATGCTAATAAGGTAGTGGTCAGAAAATGAGAGTCCACTGACAACGTCTTCCGACTCAACATCTGCAACAGTTTCGGGCAACCAAGGGAGACCAGCAAAGGAAGACAAACAGTTCACTCTGTGTAAGCATTCTCTTTCCTGTGCTGGTTTCCCTCTGATGTCACTTTCAGAAATGAAAATGTTTGGACTGTTGAATGGAAGAAAGCGCAGAGGCAACATACAGGTTGGCTCATGTATGAAGCTGTCTCAGAAATGGACTTTGTTAAGGAAAGGGCATTGTGACCACATGAGCTATGATGGGAAGAAGATTAGAAAGGGACGATTTATTCTATCAGGGACAATGACATGAATGGAGCCTCAATGGGAAGGAGAGGTTTCCCTTTTATGCATGAGATGGGGTTGGAGGAAGAGAAGAGCCATGAAAAAAATCCCCAAACAAAGGAAATCATCTGATTCTTGTTTCCTTTCGGAGGTGGTGGAAGTTCGCCACAGGATTTAGTCTGGACTGCCCCACTTGACAGGAATATGGCGGAGCCAGAGACCAGGATAGGGCAGGTAAATTAGGAGCTGGAAAGTCACAGCACAGTAGGCTTAACTGTCCCAGGAAGAGTTTTCAGGTAGTGGGATCTGGCCCCTCAGAATGATTATCATATTAAAGGGACAGACCTGTGATCTAACTGAAATAGCTTTGTCCTGAGGAAACCCCAACACCTGGAGAAGAGTAGATGCACTATTATCAACCCTGCTTAGTAACACTTCTGGCCTTAAGAACTCCATCCAAGATAAACTACTGCCTCATACCAACTTCATAACACTAGTTTCTCTCTTAAAAAATATTTATTGGCATTTCTCATAAGGAACAATATTACCTTTTCAGAAGTTCTTCCCTATGGAAGGTCCTTTGCTTTTTTTAATTTTTTTTCTGATTTTTTAAATGTAAATTAGAAAAAGTATGTCTTACATGCCAATCCCAGTTCCTTCTCCCTCCTTCCCTGCCCCCCACTGATCCCCTACTCCATCCCCTTTCTGTTCCCCAGGGAGGGTGAGGCCTATGGCAGGTCCTTCTATTTTTCCCAGATTATACACTTAAGGACCAACTTCTTCCCTCATCCTTTCAACTACCCTTGCTCCTTTCCACTTGCCCTTCATAATTTGTTTTAAAGAAACAAGCTGCAACTGGACAATCAATGGCCCATCTATATTCTATGGTAAAGTTAAATGAGCACATACTTATGGCCTTGACAACCAACTTGAAACCTTAGATTTGCTTTGTATTTTTTTCTGATTCCTCTATAGCACACAACCGTGGATAATAATTCCAAGTAAAAGGAAAACTGCAGCCTTACAGATACTTCACAAAGCAATAAAGAAGCAGGCATCAGAGAAGTCACTGTGGTTCCTTAGAAACAGCTGCTGTGGGGAATGTGCCAGAAAAACTGCCAAGTTTCTGCAGTTTTTATTTGAAAAGGCTCTGAACACTGGGATTTTGCTGGCTTTGCCTTATTCACTTTGCACGTGCTTGTCCTTAGAATGCAAATGGCTGCCAGCTAGTTGGCCTCCAAGCTCCATGAGTTTCCTCACTCCCAGCCTTGTCTTTAGGTCAGTGGTGTCATGGGACTTCAATTCTACCTGAATGCTTTGCTCTTTTGGATTATTGCCAAAGATGACTAGAAAAAATGGGAGAGAGAAACGCGAAGGCCTACTTTTCAGTTTACAAAGACTTTAAAATTATGACTGTATTTAGCGTATACCAGCACAAAATATATATGAACTAAATGGATCAAGGAAAGGATAGCTAGTCCGCCCAGGCCACCTGTGTAAGCTGAAATAATTTGTAAAGAAAAAAGTCCATTTGGTCTCAAAAGCTTCTTTCCAGGATTTTCAAGTTTACAACGCATCTCAGGAAAAAATAGAGAAGTTAGATAATAAAAGTAAAAAGGAAATTCATGCCCCAGCCAGTTCCTCTCCCAAGGACAGGCAAGAAAGAAGTTGCTGATTTCTCTAGAGTGACAACCTTTGTCTCTTGTGGCCTGCCGCTCCTGCCCATTTTCTCACTGACTCTTGGTGCCATCACCCTTAGTTCAGCAGGCAGTTCTCTACTTTGCACCCTTCATAGTGACCAGTAATCTGACACATCTGCATCAAGGTCTTCTGACAACTTGAAAAACGTATACTGTGGCCAGCAAAGCAAGTTCATCGATTACAACAAAAACATTTTCAAATGAAAGCATGGTCTGCATTAAAAGTAAATATAATCTAAACGCTAAGGAAGCTACCAGGATTTTGAAACATATTCATTGTTCAATCTTTTAAAGAGAAAGGTTAGGATGCTTAGTAACTAGTGTATTAATTATTTATGTGAAAATAAGGGGTTCCATTTTTAACACAAATTTTGAACTAAAAGGGAAATAAAGTAGCACCATCATGCCAGCCAGACAAAGGCTTGTCAGATTCCATGTTTAAGCATGTTAGGGCTCATTTGATCCTGTGTTTAAGCAGGTTTCACACAACAGAGTCCTTCAATGGCTGCAAGGAAAATTATTTGAGTGTTTAAAGATACAGCTTATTCTCCAAATTGCACACGATACTTACTTTCTCTAAAAAACATCTTGTGGCCTGTTCAAATAGTCCGTGTAAGAATTCTCACTCTCTCTTTAATGCTATGCTGTATTTACCACATAAGTGAAAAACACCTTCTCAAGAGAAAGTCTGGAGGTGACCAAGGAATCAATCAGCTTCCTTAAGCTGCGATGTTTGCAGTTTCTCTATTTGAGCAGGTTTCCAAACGTTGAATTAAAAGTCTGACAGACATCTAAGTGGCTTAGAATTACTTATCTAGAAATGGATGAACCTGCTCACTCATATGCTCCTCTGTCTAAGAATACTTACCTGCAAGTTATAATCCTGAAGAATTTTAACCAAGGAATCTCTCAAATTGGGAATCTCCATTCCTTCCTTTATACGGTGGATTAGTAGAATCGGGTCCACGTGTGTGCCAATGTTGTTTAGCAAGCCAGTAATAAATGCTACAAAAATCCATGTAAAAATAACACATGAGACACTCAGGAGGCAGAGGCATGCAGATCTCTGTGAGCTCAAAGCCAGCCTAGTTTACAAAGCAAGTTCCCGGACAGCCAGGACTGTTACACAGAGAAACCCTGTCTAGAAAAAACAAAAACAAAACAAAAAACCTGAAAACAACCAAACAAAAACAAAAAAACTACCCAACCAACCAAACAAAAACACATGAGTAATATTAGAATGTATTTTATTTGTTCACAATTCAACTTTAGACCAAAAGTAACAACCTACTTTCTTCAAGGTAAGTGTTAAATATGCAAACTTTGAAACTCTCAAGAACCCATCCTCTAAATTTAAATACACTTTTAAGGACTAAATTCCTCTAAGACAGTGTTTCTCAACCTGTGGTTTTTTGCCCCTTTCAGCGTCATATATCAGATGTCCTCATTATGACTCATAATGCCAGCAAAATTACAGTTATGAAGTAGCAACAAAAATAATTTTGTGGTTGGAGGTCACCACAACATGAGGAACTGTATTAAAGGGTCACAGCATCAGGAAGGTTGAGAACCACTGCTCTAAGACACGAAGGAGAAACTGAGAACATTTTACAAAAAGTTAAACGATTACCTTTATTCACATCTCTTCAAAATCATTTTATTGTCAAAGTACAACCAGCACTAAGAACCTCTGATCACTCATCTTTAATACTTTCATATTTTAAGGGTTAGCATATTTTGCGTCTTCCTTTTACAGACACTGGAAGTGGGGTATTTCACTTCTCCAGTTCATGAAGCTCCTAAGTAATGAACTCAAATTCCAACCATGTTAGATTCCTTATAGTTTCAAGAGAGAAAGTCCTCAAGGGCTATTCTAACTGTAGACACTTAAATGAGAATATACACCCCTAGCAACAACAACCACTCACCAAATCACAAAGCAATAGGGAGATGAGAGAGCTTCTGCAGATGGCTGAACTGAGCAGCAACACTTAAGAACTCTCAGTGCTGGGTTGATAAAATGGGCTGGAAAGGCAAAACCTCACCCATGGCTTCCATCCAGTAGGCTATGTGTTTTCATAAAGGTCTGGAAAGGACTCTGAGATTTCACACTACCCAAACCAAATCACACTAAGCATCATGACATTTATCAGTGGAGCTGTAGAAAGGATGGTAAACCATGTAACCACCTGATCTTCCTCATCCTCAGGCTTGCACAGCCAGGCTCAGGCCTTTCTGCATGGGAGGGGGTAAAAAAGCCCCAGAACTTTCACTGCTGGACTCATTGTGGATGCTTTACCATCAAAACCTTATTATAATCATCTATCTATTTATTCACTTATATCGATTTATACTGTGTGTGTGTGTATGTGTGTGTGTGTGTGTGTGTGAGAGAGAGAGAGAGAGAGAGAGAGAGAGAGAGAGAGAGAGAGAGACTCACATGGCACTGGGTACACATGTGTGGGGGTTAGAGGACAACTTAAGGAGTATAGTTTCCTCCCACTGTGTGGGACCTAGGGATTAAACTTCTCCATCAACCCACTTGGTCATAATTTTAGCCCAGTGTACCGTACCTGAGATAACTCTTCCTCACACAATGGGCTATAATAGGCTATAATATATACCGATAAAAAGCTTTACAATCAAATGGTCTCTCTGCTTACGTGGTTTGTCAATGGAATACAGAATCAGGTCTTCCCAGAGCTCTCCATCATCTTGCTCCTTGGCAAACTCAATTGCTTTATCGACATCATGTAATTCCTCCATAATCATCTTGAGGGCACTTCGACTGTTTCCCATTCTGCCTAGATGGTGTGAAGAAGTGTGGAATACGTTATTCATTTTAAAAGAAACATCATATTTCTTAATTGGTTTACAAAGCTTGAAAGATAAGACTAAAGCTGACTTTCTTACACAACACTATCATTTCCTATCTTTGACAGCCAAATAAGTACTTCCTATTTATTGTGTCCTCATGTTGTATGGAGTGTTCATTAGATAGTGTTATGTGAATGACATCATTTAATCACACTATGATTTCAGGCAGTACACTTTACCTAAGTCCCTACTTTATTTCGTTTTTATTATTTAACTTATGTCCATGGGTGTCTTCGTTGCATGTATTTGTGTGTACCATGTGCATACCTAGTGTCCACAGAGACCAGAAGAGGGCACTGTATCCCCTACAACCAGAGTTATAAGTGATAGCTAGGGATTAAACCTGCACCCTCTAGAAGAACAGCAAATGCTCTTAACTGCTGAGTCATCTCTCCAGCCTAGAATAATGAAATTTGTTTTGTTTTGTTTTTCCAGACAGGGTTTCTCTGTGGCTTTGGAGGCTGTCCTGGAACTAACTCTTGTAGACAAAACTGACCTCAAACTCACAGAGTTTGCCTTTGCCTCCCAAGTGCTGGGATTAAAGGCATGCACCACCACCACCCTGCTATATACAATAATGAATATTTTTAAAACATTTTTTCCTAGGCAGTCTATGGGGCCTTTGGTAGTGCAACAGTGTTTATCCCTAGTGTACAAATGAATTTTGGGAGCCCATTCACCATAGACCCATAGAGGGATACTCTCTCAGCCTAGAAACACAGAGAGGGCCTGGGCCTTGTCCCAAACGATGAGACAGACTTGGATGATCCCCCATGGAAGGCTTCACCCTCCCTGGGGAACAGAAGGGGGATAGGATGGGGGGTTGGTGGGGGCCATGGGACGGTAGGAGGGAGAGGGAACTGAGATTGATATGTAAAATAAGATAGCTTCTAATTTAAATAAAAACATTTTTTTTCTTTGATTTTGAGACAGCATCACTATGTAGCTCTAGCTAACTTGAAATTAATTATGTAGACCAGGTTAGCCTTGACCCACAGAGATCTGCTTGTCTCTTCCTCTTGAGTGCTAGGGTTAAAGACATATGCCACCATGCATGACCTTAATATTACTTATTATTTTCATTTTCAATAGAAGAGGAAATGCACTATTTGTAATTTGGCAAAATCATGTAACCACTGAACTGCACAGTTGGATTTTGAGATGGGTCTTTTGCATTCTGCTTCCTTCTCATAGGCCTGAAATTTCCTTTAGATTCAAATTCTGATACAGTTAAGACTTTTAAAAACTTGGAAATCATTCTGCCCCTTCTGCTCATTAAACCTTTGGCACTTCATAATTTTCACAAGCTGTTATTAGAGTTCACGTAGAAGACCTTATGCAGTAGAAGGCCAACTGTCTAGATGAGGCTTATTATATTAACCCTGTCTCTTGTTCCATGCAGGGACCAGTAAAGGGTCATAAATTAAGTCATCTACTGCTCCTAAGACATTATGATAAAGATGAATTCAAACAGATACTTCCCAGAGGATCACAGTTGGAAGAAGTCAGTACATAAGCTACTTAAAGTTGTGATGAGAAGCCCCAAACCATGCTCAAGTAGGAAATACAGTCTCAAATATTTTTCCTAAGTAGAGCAGATCCCGTTCTAGGACAGTTCTAGGCTGGTGCTGAAAACCCATGAATTTTTTTACTGCATACATGAAATTAGGAGATGGGTTAATTTTCAACAAAGGCCAAAGGAGCCAATGACAGTGAGTGCTGTGTGGAAGAGAGCTGTGGTGTAAGAAACATGGTATGTGGGTAGGGACATGATGCCAGACATATCCTCACATTTAGTTTATTTATGCTGTATGTCACCAGCACCTGCACAGCTTCCTCAAGAAGTCCTCATGGTTCTCATGCATTCTGGAAGATGGAGAAGCCTAGATTCCTGGTACACATCACACAAAAACTCTGCCATGTCTGGAGGCAGGAGTCAGAGGGAAAGGGAGCATTGAGAGCCACAATACATTATGAAGCTTTGCTCATGTTCCAAAGCCCCATGTTCTAATTATTAAGGATGTGAATTTTGAAAATAGGAGCTGTTTCATATCAATGTGTGGTGATATAAGGCAAGTATAAACTAAAAGGGGGGAACCCCCAAGCCCAAATCTGTTAGCCCATCTACAGTTTTAACCTGTGTTGTGATATTTGATACATTTTTGTTTGCTTTGTTGCCTTTTTATTACACATTTATTATGTGTTCTTTTAGCAGCATGGTTCTAGTAACTCCGCTCTGGAATCTCCTTTTCCATGTATTACATTTTTATATAAACTAGTGAATGTCTGTCACTTTGTTCTCAAATCTGTATTCCTTCTTATATGCTTTACAACAAATCTTCACCCCATTTCTATGTTTATGGGACTAAAATGAACAAATGCTACTTACTCAGAAGGTAAACTGTCTCTTCTACAAAGTTTCTTTGTTGACAGATCTCAAGAGCCTTTAATTAAAACAAGGAGAAAAGTTATACTATAGACCACCAAACAGGAAAACAATATTAAGAGAGCCACTTAAAGCCACTACAAACTTGGAAGAATTTTTCATTGTTTCCCTTAAAAAAAAAGAACAAAACAAAACAGATATCTGTTGTTCTTTATTTCATTCACCTTTCAGAGTTACTAGATCTACACAAGTGAACTGAGATCACATGAAGCAACACAGCGTTCTATCAGCAGATGCAGAGAGCAGTGTTGGAACGTGTTTTCTTATTAAGCTTTCTCTCATTTTATACCATTGCTTCCAACTTCATCTATAGGCATTTGCATACAAACTATCTCCTTTCATAGTGTAAGGAAGCACTGTGTACTGATAAACCGCACAATCACTCTAAATCAAATAGCACACATTTACTATGCTCTCCCTGCTGGATGTTGAAGGATCAGATTGAAGCAAGGAAGCAAAGGTGAGGATAATAGTAACATGGAATGATCACACTCAAAGAGACAGAGAAGGAGCCAAGAAACAAAGAAGCAGGAGAAGACACAGCACATCTACCCCAGACTCTTGGACACAAAAGGATGACAAAGAAATGACCACATGTCTTTCCATGACTGGCACAGTGCAGGGAGAGGACCTTGTGCATGGAGTAACGACAGTGAGTTCGTGCCATTCTCCTGTGACCTCTCTCCACAGAGAGGTGACACCTGAATCAGGTACAATTCACCAGGGAGACCACATCTCACAGATCATCCTCCTGCAGTACCTGCTTGGTGACCCACAATCCTGTTCAGCCATCCTAGTGTGGCTTTATCCTCCCTGACCACCTCTGCAGGACCCTTTTCTCAAACTTTCTCCTCATACCTTACTTCCTCCTCTAGAAAGGACTGGAGACAAGTACTGCCACACTTCACACTGGATTCTAGGTGTCCCTCCATTTTCATCCTGCATGTGGCTTCCTAATTCTCTATCACTAGAATAACGGACTTTTCACCATAGTAGTCATCTAGCTTCCCTCTGCAGGGACCATGTGCTTGTTAAGCCCCGACTTTTCACCATAGTAGTCATCTAGCTTCCCTCTGCAGGGACCATGTGCTTGTTAAGCCCTATGCTTACCACAATGCTGGCCTCACAGTAGGTCTGTAGTGAGCATTTTCTCAAATGAGGAGAAACAAGTTAACTGGGTTGCACATTTAAAGTAGTTATTTAGAAGCAACCAGCCAGCCAGGAGGTTTTGAAAATAAGAATCAAAGCCATAGAAAGAACAGCTTGAGTTAATCATCTCTTTGTGTTCTGTGATCTATCTTTGGAAATAACAGCAAGAGCTGGTCTTGATATTTTGATTTTTGACTTAAATTTTCCTATAAACTATATATTTAAAGCAGGTAAGGAATGGGGGTGGGGGCTGATCACAAAGATCAGTGTATTTAAATGAGAAACAAATAGGGAAAAGAGCATCCTTAGTCTAGAATAGGGATGAAGCCAGGACAGTGTTTCGAGTCATACATACCATTGAGGCTAGAAATAAGCCACACTTGGATGGTACATTACAGAAACTACTTACTCTAAGTGGCTGTTTAATTTACACTGGTTTGACATGTTTCAGACACTCAATGATCAGTATATTTGTTGATGTACCCACAAGGATGGTCCTGGCGTGCTGAGCACACTACCCAGACACTGTTACTGAGTATGTATTCCCAATCTCGTGCAGGTCTCCTGTCAGGAATCACAGTTGCTGAGAGCTCAACAGGTTATGCTGTACTGGAGGACAGCTTTCTACAACAGCAAGTCTTTGAAATTTGAATTTCCCATGTCATTAAAATATTTATAAGTGGATTCTAACAGTGCCTTACATTATTCTCCTTAACAATGATGAACCTCTAGAAAAATATAGGAGTTGAAAATGAGTGAAATATAAAAATATTTATAGGACACAGAATTCTGCTATTATTGACACAAATGACAAATGTGACATCATACTTATTTTAGATTCTTACATGTTTGGACACTATGTTCCCTCTAGAAGAAAGACTTTAGTTGGACAGAGAGAAAAAAAAGAGAGACAGACAGACAGACACGCACACACACACACACTCACATTCAGAGAGAGAGAGGGGGAGAGAGAGAGAGAGAGAGAGAGGGAGAGAGGGAGGGAGGGAGGGAGGGAAGGAGGGAGGGAGGGAGGGAGGGAGGGAGGGAGGGAAGGAGGGAGGGAGGGAGAGGGAGCTAGTTTTATGGCAAAGGTGAAAAGTAAGGTAACTGACAGAAATCGAGTAACAGAAAAAGATGCAAAAGTAGCATTCTAACTTTTTCTTGATCCAGCATGAAGATAAGAGGGGAATTTCAGGGTAGCAAGAGGAACATTGTCAGCTGTAATTGAACAATGACACCTACCCAGCCTTGACTCTGATGTATCCTAGATAACCTTTCTTTAAATCCTGAAGTAAAATTTTATCCACTTTGTATCCCCAGTGTGTTCACCTAAATGACACACACTGCCACCTTGTGAATGTTGATTAGGACATCATACATTCAGTTATAAACCTGACAAAATTATAACCATGACATCAAGTCATAAGATCACATCTGTAAATTATGGTCCAAAGACAGGTTTGCAGCTGCATTTTTCTTGATGCTTACAATGCTAAGGAATACCTTTGCTGCTAATTTAGTGAACATTTTAAAACCGAAAAACAGTTCCCCGGCACAGTGAAGAACGAGGGGCCTGAGGTTCAGAGGCCTAACTTCCATGTCTGCTCTCAGCTTACAACTCCTCCATTCACACCCCCAGTCTCAGCTTGCCAGGTACCAGATGCCTCCATCCACACAAAGGCACGTCTGTGGAGATGCAGCAGTATCAAGCGAGTGAAAGCAGTGCATGGAAGAAGGCAGGGCAGGCAGATGAAGGAACGTACCGTTCTTTTAAAGAGCAGTAGTTGTCAGAAATTTTTAGAGTCGGTAGCTCCCTTGCAATGAACAACTCCGCCCCCCCCAAAAAAAAACCTTACTATTGATTTTTGAGTTTATTAACTGTGGTGATTTTAAATCCTGGAAATCTAGAACTGAATAGCTGGGATCCTCTCAGGGCTTCTGCTACTATCAGAGTATGGATTTGGGATTTCAAACCACACAAAATAAGGCAGACCTGAATACTTCAACATTTCTAGTTGCCCACTTGCAACCATTATTCCTTTCAGCAATTACCCAAGCCAAGAACAGGTAAGTAACCTGACAGAGGAATTATCCTCTGAAGTAGGAGTTTTCTGGGGAGGGAGCATTCCGATTTTAAGGTTTGTGGTTTATTTTTGAGTAAAGAGGCTCTATGTGCTGCATGTCTTTGAACTGAAACACGTGAGAATGCATTCCATCACTCAACCCCTATCATCTCCTGGGTGTCGCAGATGACACAGACACCCCTGTCATAATCTGGGATATATGCTATGGGGGATCTAATTTGTTGTTCATGGTCGCTGTCTCTGTTCATGGCAAACATAAATGATAATTTCAAAGGTAATTCAGTGAATACAGAATTCTTTTTTCTAAGGAAAAAAAAGATGAGATCTTCAATGAATCTGTAAGTCATGAGTATGTGTCAAAGTTAGCTTTGTTTCAAAATAAGGCAGGGTAACACTTTTATGCAAACAGATTTCCTACAATGGATCTTGTTAAAGAAATAATATCTGATTTACATGTTTCAGTGACCCACAGTGAAAAGGCCATTTAAAGAGTTAAAAATAAATGTGAACCAGAGATTCCATTCCCCAAATGAGTGGACAAAGCCCTTCCTTCCTCTGAAGAGCTTCCAGGTGAGTGGGGAAGACCGAGTAGCAGAGCAGAGTGCAGCGTGATGCAGCGTGCTGGAGAAATATAGAAGCTCACTGCCCTCTGCTTCTGAAACTGGCTTTCGGCAGTCCCCACTCTCTGGCACTTACCCCGAGTCATTCTAACTCTGAGACAGACAGACTCTTGATGTCACTTCAGGTTGGTGTTTGTTGCCATGGATTACATATTTATTCCAATTAAGCCTGTCACAGAATGCCTGTACTCTGCCCCTAAGTCTAACCCAAAGGACTGTCTCACCACAATGCGCCAGCAGAACACACTGGACACAACAGCAACCTTCCCTTGAACAGGGATGAACGCATGCAGTGAAAGAAGACCAGCAAAAGGCTTACGAAAGTGGCAACTACTTCCGATGTGTCCAAACAGTGAGTTGGTTGCTGGCTTACCTTTTCAAGTGGGCAATGGGTACTGTCTCGGAGAAAGGGAAGGAGGTTTGGTCGATCATATTCAGCATACAGACTGATCTGTTTCTCATGGTAGCGCTGTCCCTTATGATGGTCTCTCTTGAAGAGCTTGTGCAAATACTAAAAAGGAACAAGATAAGCCACAATATCAGAATAAGAATAAAATAACCAATTAACTTTATTACCTTCAGTTGCTATCACCTTCCATGAAGGTTAGGAGACATGGTCTTCAGCAAGAATAACTTCTAGGTGACAAGAATGCCATTTGGGAGCAGATTCTGAAACTCTCTAGAAGTTGGACTGGTTGCCACTGACAACTATGAGCTTAGAGAAGTCCCTTATCACTCTATGACTTTGGGTCTTCACCCGCAGAAAACTTCACTAAGTCAAAGCAATACCTTTGAGCATTACCGAGAACCATACCTGGTGTATGCTAAGTACTACACAGAAATAATGATGGTAAATTTTAATGTCATCATCTTGCCACCGAAGTCAAATGCCCGGGTAGCATCTTAGATAACAACAATTCTATTCTTGAGGCTAGGCAGATGGCTCCATGCTTAAGAGCACTGCTACTCTTGTAGAAGACCCAGATTAGATTCCTAACACCCACATGGCAGCTTACACCTGTCCATCACTCCAGTTACAGGAGATCTGGCATCCTCCTCTGGCCTCCATGCATACCAACAAGCCCACAGTGCACTTACATACATGCAGGCTAAACACTCTTACACAAAAAATTAAAACTAATCTTTAAATTTTTTTCTTCTTTTACATGAAATGACACTGGGCAACTTAACTGTTTTAAAAAAAACATAGCAGGAACAAAATTAATCCTTACACACTCCTATATCCATTTTTAGAGAGTTAATGTAATCCTTTTGCAATTAAGTGGTTCCTATATTGAGGACATCAGAAAACAAAAATAAGTAATAAAAAGAGAACAGTTGTTTCATACAATTGAACTTTAAAGGGAGTATTCTTCACTTTCTACTTATTGAAAAGATTGAGTTAATTATGTAATACCCAACAATGAATACTCAGTGCTAATGTTAAATACAAACAAAAACTTACAACCCACCAGAGGGAGGAAGACACAATCACACATAAGTACATTCAGGTCATGAGTGTTTGTAACCAGGTGAAACCTCAGTTTTCCCAAAGCTGTGAGTTGGCTGCTGCTGTATATCATACCGACATATGTACTTCAAGAGTCATCCCTTGGGTTGTTCACAGCCAAACTGAGCTCCTTTGCTGAGCTACGTCTGATAAGGAGTATGGATAAGCAGTTTGTAGTGGGGGGTCTGGATATGGCCAGGACATGGTACTTTCCCTGAAGAGGTATTTTCCTGTCACATATAATACAGACATTTTATTGCTGGGTGTAGATGGGTAGAGATGACTGTTTTAGAGGGGTATCTGACACCCTTTCCCTGGTTACATTGTCACAGAGCAATGCTGCCAGTATCTGTTTCATAGCTTAAGCAGTACAGATATTGTTGCTATATAAGCAAAAAAAAATTAAGATAACTATCAGAATGGAGCCTTGCTTGGGTAAGCAGATAATGTTGAGATTTTTCTGGTCATGGCAACAGTATCTGCATTAAATGATGAGTAATAAACAAATCTATAATATATCTAGATTACACTCCCATTCGTATGTCCTCACGAGCTTCAGCACAGAAGCCAGCTTTCCAATAGAATACTACACTTCCGCAGAATAATCCTCTTGCCACTCAAGCCTTTTTTACATATGCTTTTAAAGCGTTTAGAAAATGCCTTTTGTGCTGATTGTTTTTTGTCAACTTGACACAACCCACACATATCTGGGGACAGGGAATTTTAATTGGAAAACAAAAATATCACCATAAGGTTGGCCTGTAGGCAGATCTGTAGGGCATTTTCTTGATTAACGATTGATGTTAAAGGGCCCCATACAATGTGTCACCCCCTAGCAGGTAGTCCTGGAGTGTATAAGAAAGCTGACTGAGCAAATTGTGAGGGGCAAGGTGGTAAACAGTGCTCCTCCATGGCTTCCGCTACTTTTCCTGCCTGAGTTCATGCTTTGTCTTCCTTCAGTGATGGTATGAGACCTGAAAGTTGTTGTAGGATGAAATAAACCCTTTCCTCATCAAGTTGTTTTTGCTCATGGTGTGTTTGGTCTCAGCAGTAGAAAGCAAACTAAGACACTACTCCTGGATTACTCCCTGGATGACATGATACATGGAATCAAAGGAGCCCTTCATAATACAGTCACTAAACCCATATAGAAGAGGTAGGCTTAGCTACAGTGTGGGTGAGGAGCAAAAACTACAAATCCGTTCTTTGGTCACTCTATAGTTCTGGATGCAGAATAACAGGACTTGGTATCTATAATGCACTACTGGTTTGTGCTGTGACTTATGACCTGATTATATATAATAGCAACTACAGAGGAAAGCACTTACTCCCTTGCATAGAATGGTAGAAAAGAGCAAAACAGAAAACATTTTTCTGAAAGTCCCAAATCAATTGTAAACCACACTTCAACCACGTGTGCTATGATTAATTCCTAGCCACAGAGTCACAGCTTGTGTCACATTCTAGTATTTTTTGCACACTGCCTGTGGTCAAAGCTCCAATCTGAGCAGTGTTCTCTAAGAAAAGTTGTCTGCATGGACACTCCCATACCAATACACAGGCTCTCTGTCTGCTGTTGAATTAAAAGGACAAAGGAGACTAGTGCTCACCACATGTTGCAATTCTGGTCTGTCTTCTAATTCTTCTACAACTTTTTTAATCTGAGGAAAAAGAAAAAATTAAAATGCAGTTACAAGGAGGCAGCCATAATGACAAATAACCTGATACACTTTATTGTGGGCATGGGATTGTGGACACTCATCTAGTAATACATGCTATGGTTTGAATGTGTCTTGTTCCACACCAAAACCTGAGTCCATGCTTGATTCCTAATGTGACCACTAAAAAGTGGTGGGACTCTTTCAGATGAAGGGCTTAGTGGGAGGTCACTGATAACCATACAAGGGGATTCAACTGGACACTTGAGAGGGTTAGGTTGCATGAGAGCATATAGTTACAAAAGAACAAGGAGGTGGCCACTTCTAGGCCACTTGCATCCGCCTTCTTTCTTCCAGGGTCCACATGGCTCATCCTGTCTCCTGGTGTCCAACACCCTACACTAACCTGCCAGCTAAAAGGCCGTTGCCAAATTTAGCCTCTTGATCTTGGATCAAGTTATAAGCCAAACTAACCCCTCTCCTCTTGTCTGTGGTATGTTATTAACAACAGAGAACAACAGGTCTATCACATATAAAAGGACTCACTGAAATTTTATCTTCATTGTCCAAAAGCATGTCAACCGCTTTCTGAAATACAAACACAGCCATAGTTACTTGTCTGCCACACAAGAACACTAAACAAAATGCAGTACCACAGTTATGCAGGTAAAGGGCTTATTTCTTACGCTTTAGAAGCACTGAGCTTCATGTTGTAGAATAATCTTTTTGTACACTGTGAGTATGTGTCACAACCAATAGCTAGGTAGGATTTTTGAGGTAGAGAGGATGCTGGGAAGAAGAAAGGAATTGCCAGCCAGATGGAGAGGGAGCAAGACATGCAGGTAAATGTCACCAGTCGTGTGGAAACACATGGATAAATAGAAATGGGTACATTTAAGTTATAAGAGATAGTAGAACAAGTCTAAGGTATCGACTGAGCTTTCATGATGAATAACAAGTCTCTGTGTTTGGGAGCTGGCTGTCAGGACAGAGAAGACTCTACAGCTTCATAAATGGTCCTATATAAAATGCTATTTGCTGAGGAATACAAATTCAAATGTGTCTCAATCTGAGGTCAGTTATGTTTTGTATATTGTTAAACCAATGCATTGCTCTATTTTTACCAGATGTAAAAGTTACTACTGTATTCAAAACAGACAACATGTTCTAGCCCCTTGATGTCTCAACTACGTTTACAAATTCCCACGTGATCCTCAGTAGCTCTGGTGAATATCACAATACCACAGCCACAGAAGTGAGCAAGAGCTGGCCTTCTAAGAGAAAGTTAGCTACAGGAAAACAAATGAAATGCTTGAAATCTTCCTGTTTTCTATACCATCTACCACATTCATAAAGCACTAATTAGTTTATGAAAACAGGTAGAAGGATGACACCAAATACAATAACTGGGTCTTGCTGTTACTACCCTAATGTCTGTTCCAACTTATACTTTTGTTACATAAGGGTGTTTAATTATTCCAAAGATCCTTTCTAATTTGAAAACTATGATACCTTAACTTTTGCTTAAATTCTCTCAATAGCAATTAGTTTTAGCTCAGCTATTTCTTTCCCACAGGACATATGCTAATTAGACTTTCAAGACACAGGAGAAAATGGATAAGGGGAATGTAATCAAAACTTCTCAGTTACACTTACATAGTGTGTGTGTGTGTGTGTGTGCGCGTGCTCGCTCGCACGTGCATGTGTGTGTGCACGTGTGCATGTGCGCACACTCGTGCATGCACACATGTACACATGCCTTCATGCCTCAGAGCATGTGTGGTCAGAGGACATCTTAAGGGAGTAGGTTCCCTCCTTCCTCCATGAGGATCTAGGGATTAAATCTGGTCTTCAGATTTGGTGACTGGTGCCTTTACTGGCTGAGCACTCACCCTGTCACTAGTTTTTATATACGCATCTCATACTTGTTATGAGTGCATATTCACTGTGCTGAGGAATGGGTTTCAAACGATGATCATACAAGTATTCCATAAACTTTGATTGCATTCACCTCTCACACTCTCTTCTATCTACTTCTCTTATTAGTTCCCTGGTTCCTTCAGTTTTCCTCCCTCCTTTCCTTCCTCCTTTTTTGTTTTTTGTTTTTTGTTTTTTTTTTTTGTTTTTTTTGTCTTTTGTTTTTTTCTTTTTGTTTTTGGAGATAGGGTATCATTATGTAGCCCTGGCTGGCCTTGAATTTGATATATAGACTAGGCTGGCCTCCAACTCCAGCCTCTGCCTTCAAATACTAGGATTAATGATGTGTACCTTGGTGTGTACCTCTACATGAGATGCTCTCATTTAAAATCTAAGATTCACACAAAAGAAAATATGATTTGCCTACAAAGGAAAATATGATTTGTCTTTCTGGGTCTTATTTTGCTTACATGATCTCCAGCTCCAGCTCCATTCATTTTGTTCTTTATGGCTGAATAAAACTTCATTGTGCATATATATATATCACATTTTTATCAATTCATCTGTTGGCAGAAACCTAAACAGAGTCTCCTTTTTTTCCTTTGTTAATGAATATTTTATTTTGATATAAAAAAGAAAATGCCTTACAACTGGATCTTATGGAAGCATTTTCTCAAATGAGGATTCTTCCTTACATTTAACTCTAGCTTGAGTCACGTTGATATAAAACTAGCCAGTACAATTGACCCCTTTAAACAAAGTCTCTTAATGTGACTATTATATATAGTACAGCAAGAAACAAAAGACAGTGTGTTGGTGCAATGTTGACATAGAGCCACTTGGGTATATTTACAGGAGTGGGAGAGCTGGGTCATGTTGATTCTACACTGGCTAGACTAATTTTCTGGGCTACTGAGTCCTTTACAAGTCCACAATGTCACCAGGACTGCCACACCAGCCCATGGTGAAATTCAGGTGATAAAATTGAAGGCTGTAGCGAGGAAATAGAAATGAATGCCATGCTTACTTAGTTCATGGTTTACTTTTCATTTAGTTCAGGGCTCTGGTCCTCAGAACAGCACTTCCCATTTATACAGTGGGTCTTCCCACCTCAGTTATACAGAAATGCCCTCCCATCTCATTTATACAGAAATGCCCTCCATCAATCATCACAGCAACACAATAGCAGCTCTTCAGATACAAGAGAGCATGCAAGGTCATCTCATTGTCTAGTCTTTCCTCGGATGCTTTAAAATTCACATTCTAGAGGTGTGGTGGTTTGAATAAGAATGGGTCCCAGAGACTCATCTACTTGAATGTTCCAGGGAATGGCACTACCAGAGAGGGATTAGAAAGGGGCCTTATTGGAGTAGGTTTGGACTTACTGGAGGAAGCCTGTTGGGGAAGTCTTATGCTAATAAAGCACTGTCTGGCCAATAGGAATCTAGATAGGTGGGGCTAGGAATCCTGGAGGATTCTGGGTAGGAGAAACACAGGAGAGTCGACATGTGACGCCATGGGGGTAGGAAGCCGGGAACTATTCTCCGGTAAGAAACATACTTAGATTAACAATTATGGGGTAATTACTTAAGGCAGAGCTAGCCAGTAAGGGACAAGCAAGGCCAACAGCTTCATAATTAATACAGCGTCCTGTGTGTTTATTTGGGACTCATGCGGATCTCGAAACAGGCTCGCGCGGCAGAGCCCAGGCGACTGGCGGGGGATAAACCAAAGCGGCTAGCAAAAGAAAAAGCTTCTCTTAACAGAAGCCTGTCACTGGGGGTGGGCTTTGGGGTTTCAAAGGTCCAAACCAGACCTAGTGTCTCTCTTCCTACTGCCAGTGGACAGAGATGTAGAACTCAGTTACCACATTTGACTGCATGCTGCCATTTTCCATGCCCTGAGGATCATGGACTAAACCTTTAAAACTGTAAGCAAGCCCCAATTAAATGCTTCTTGTATATGAGTTTCCATGGTCATGGCATCTTGCAATAGAACACTGACAAAGACAAGAGGTCTTTCATATTCTTCTTAGATTTACTACAAGGACTTGGGGAAGGGGGTATTATGGTGTGTGTGTGTGTGTTTATAAACTTGTTTGTATTCTCAGAATGTTTGTTACTGATATATAGGGAGGTTACTGAGTTTTGCATATTGATTTTTGGATCCTGTTATTTTACTGAAAGTGTTGATCTAAGAGTTTTCTGGTGGCATCTTCAGGATCTCTTACATCAAGGCACATGCCTACAAATAAGGCTGCTTTTCTCTTTTCATTTATTCTAATCTCTTCTATTTCCTTGTTTTATTGTTCTAGCTAAGACTCCAAGCACTATACCAACTAGAGAACTTGGAGATCTTTTTCTTATATTAAACTTTTCTTTGAATTTTTTTTCCTTTCTAGTATGTTGGTTATAGTTCTATTGTACTTAGTCTTTATTATGGTATGCTACATTTCTTCTATTTTTGTTTTATTATGAGTGAAAACTGAGCTTTTCCAGAGCCCTTCCTAGAGTAATTTTCTCCACCTACTCTGGTGAGGTTGTGATTTCTTTCCTAGAGTCTATCAACATATAATATGTTACATTTATTGAATCACTCTTGTATTCCAGGAATGAAGTCAACTTGATTCTGGTGAAAGATTTTTCTATTGTGGTGAATTCAATTTGAAAGCATTATACTGAGAACTATGGCATTTACATACACCAGGGAGCTTGGCCTATAACTGTCTTTTGTGTGTAAGAGTCTTTACATGTTTATGGTATCAGGAAATAGAGACTTGATGGAAAGAGGTGGACAGAGTTCCTTTACTTTCTGCTTTACAGAACAGTCTGAGGGACACTTAGGTTTTCATTAAAGGTCTGGTAGAATTCAACAGAGAATTCACCTCAGCCTAAGGCTTTTTATAGCTGGGAGATGTTTTATTTCTTCAATCATTTCATGTGTTTTGATGCAGCTCTGTCTAATTTGTTCACATCCACATGGTTTAATTTTGGTAGGTATATGCATACAAATTATTTTTTGTTAGTTTGGCTATAGCTTGCCAAAGTTTGTTTTTTAAAGAACCAAAATCTTGTCTCATTTGTTCTATGATGTTAAAAGATTTTTAAAATTTTATGCATATGAAGGTTTTGCCTGTGTGTGTGTATATAACATGCATGTGGGGACAACAGACCTTGGCCAGAAACCCACTTCCCCATCAGCCTGGGACCAGGTAGCTGTAAGACAATGTTTACTAAAAACAATACAGTGCCTGGGGCAATAAGTTCCTGATAAGGGCTTGCCAATGGGAACACCCTGACCTCCACCTTTTCCAAAGACTAACCACCTCTTTCAGACCCACCCACCTCTGCCTCTCCTGTCAGGGTATATAATAACCAGCCAGAGTAGGAATAAAAGGAGCCTCCTTGGGGAGAGCCTTCTTGAGGAGCCTTCTGGAAGCCACTGACAGGTCTCTGTGTCATCAATCCCAACACCCTCGCCACATTCTCAGATACAGACTGCGCAGCGAGCGTGGCACATGCATGCATACATACACACATACATACATGTTTGTACCACTTATGCGCATGGTGCCCATGGAGAAAAAAAAAGAGGGCACTGGATCATCCCCTGAACTGGAGTTGAGATAGTTGTGAACTTCCATGTGGGAATTGGGGAATGAACTTGGGCCCTCTCAAGGGCAGTGAATACAACTAACCACTAAGCTATCTCTAACTGCATCCTCCTGTAGTCTTTATTATTTTTTCCATCAACTGATTTGGGGTTTGGCTTATACTCATTTTTTTAGGACCCTGGAATGAATCATTAAGTTATTTATTTGAGATCTCCAGTGTCTTTAATGTAAGTACCTATTCACATAAATTTTCCACTTAGAACTACTTTTATTGTATTCACCATGTTCTGATAAGCCATGTTTTCATTTTCATTTGATTCTAGGGCATTCATTTTCCCTCCTGATTTCTGTGGTACTCTAGTCATTATTCAATAATGTGTTATTTAATCTTCACAAGCTTGTAGAGTCTCTGTATTTTATTGATGTCTAGTTTTATTCCACTGTGATCAGATAGAATAAATTGTTTCAATTTCCTTGTATCTGTTAAGACTTGCTTTATGCTATAAAATGTGGTTTGCTTAAAAAGTTCCACGATTACTGAGAATGTATTCTATGGTACAGAAGTAAAAATTCTATATATTTTTGAGAAGTTCCTTTGTTCTTTTTAAATATTTTGTTTCTTTTTAAATATTTTCTTAGGATGACTTGTTTATTGGTAAGAGTGAGTCATAGAAGTCAGCCATATTATTGTTCCTGTTAAACCCCTGCATGAACTGCCAGGGAGCTGCATGATTCTCTATGGTTCCTACTGCTTAGACTTACAGTATGAAAAGAGTCTGAACATCCCCCAGAGTAAGATTCTGTGAAGAGTACTACTGGACAGCATATCCCTAAGTGTAGACTACCATGTGGAAATGTGTTTTTCCTTCTGCAACTTGTAGAGAGCACTTTATAATTTATTTCTCAAATAAAAGCCTCAATTTTTTATGAGCATCAGTATTTCTAATCATTACTACTTTTAATTAAGGGACAGGAAGAGAGAGGGAGAGTAGTAAGGAAAGGGAGAGGTGAGAGATGTGGGGAGGGAGGAGAGATGGAGGGAGAGATGGAAAGGGAGAGGGCAGAGAGAAATAGTGAGAGACTGACTCTCACTTAGTGAACCCTCTTGTGAGCTGTGGAGGTGATAAGAAGTAAGCTGAGAAAACCAGAGGAGTATGGCAGAAAGCAGCATTCCTCCATAGCTTCTGCTCCAGGTCCTGACTCCAGATTCATCCCTTGAGCTCCTGCCATGGCTTTCTTCAATGGATTGTGACAGAGGATATGTAAACCATGGCAGCCTTTTCCTCCCAAACTGCTTTTGGCTACAGTCTTTATCACCACAAATAAAAATCAAACTAGGACAGGGTCTAAACAGAAATTCATTTAAATTTTCACAGTGAGACACAGATTAAGTCCTTCCTTCCTTCCCTTATGAATTATATGAATTGTTGAAACAAAATAAAACAACACAAATGCCTCTTGTAAAGTACTACACCAGTGTTTTGGATACAGCTCAATGGAAGAACCGGTGCTTACTATGTATAAGACCTTAGGTTTGATCCCCAGCTCTCTCCTGCCACCACCACCAAAAAAAGTGCCTGGCATTAAGCTAAAATGACTTTCTCAGAATAACTATGCACAGAAAGGCTTCCAGAATGCCAACTGCTAAAATAACATGCATTACAAGTCAGAGGGTTCTAAGCATGGCCAGCAGCAGCACACGGTCAAGTATGTTATTCACTCTGACAGGTAGCTACTGATTAGACCTTTGAATGGTTAATAGGCAATAGTAGAAATAAGAAACATGTTACCTCTGAATCAAAATCCATTAGTAAAACTATTTTATCCTTGATGGAGCTGAAAAGATTATGCTTGTGTATCAGTTGGAAAACATCTTTATGTCTTAGCGTTAAGTATATTTCCAAAGCACTGCCATAATTTTTGTCATAGGTGTACCTGACAATAAAAAATTTATATTCATTAGCAGTTTAATTAAAATGCACAGACTATGTCTCATAATATTAAAGACTAAAATAGTTGTTCAATAGAAGAATTTACTTTACTAGGGGAAGTAGTCACAGAGATTTAAAAACACATGGTTCCTATGCACATTTTTACAGAACCCTGGCTTTTATCTCACCAAATTTGAAAAAAATGCATAATATTCAAGTAATAAATGTTCCTTCTTGTGGTCTCAGCCTCAAAGGTTTTATAGAAATCTATATTCCAGATATTGAACTTATGGTCCAAAATGAAGGCAATACTCCTCTTGCGGAATAGAGGAAAACATTTGAATTCTTGTAAGCAGTGTCCAGCTGACAGATGAGTTACATTCCAGGTCATTTGGAGGGGACTTGGATAAGCTTAAATGGATTTTTCCTTTGAAACATGTTCTCATACTAAGTTCTTCATTCAGTTAAAGAAATCATGGACAGAGACCATCCTGCTGTTCACTGTTAACAGTGCTACAAAGTCCAGGGGCATCCAGAAAAATGCTTCTGATAAAAAACAACAAGGGCTCTAATTTGGAATGCCACAATCAAGACTTCCTGTGTGCCTAGTCTAATGTGGTTTTGTGTCCAAGCCATCATCGGTCCTTTTGTCAGACTTCAACAAAAATGATACGTGAGAGAAATCTGAGGCTTGTATGTGCTGAGGAAGGGTGCAGCAGGCCTTCTTTCTTGGACTGGTCTGTAGTATACCAACTGGTGCCCTATACAGAGGCTCCTTGGCATTCTAGTTTCTCTCTGTATCTCATACATGGCAGAAAGCCAGAATCCAATAAAGGGAAATCATTCATCAAACTTCTCTTGCTGAGAAAGTTTGAGAGCATCCCTATAACAAAATGTGACCTGTAACTGTACAGATAAAGATCCTGATGCAGAAAAAGCAACAGACTTACAAGCTTAAGAATAACAGAATCCAGAGCCTGGTTCATGGGGAGAGTCTGAGGGAGCCTGGTACCTTCCATCTCCTCACCAGGACCCACACTACCCCATCCTCTGGCAAATCACATGATAATGCAGCTCCATGCATTCATCTTCTAGTTACTCATCTGAGACTCAGAAAAAGGTTTCCAGTGAAGAGTGATGTAGGAGAATGAAAAGGTATCCCTCACCACTCTAAGATGGCAAAAACTAAAACATACTCACAGCTCTGCCAGTGTTTTCAATAAAGTCTTGTTCTGACTGTCCTTTTTCAGGTGGTCTCGAACTGCTTGAACTATCACCGAATTGTTATACAGATCTCCAGGCCACTCTCTGATCAACGTTGCAAAGCCCTAACCAAAGGAGAAGAGGAGAAAAAAAATACTGCATAGTGTGATAGTGTGATCGCATTTGGGTTTTAATTCACAGTCTCCTGCTCTTTACTCCCTCCCCAATGCAGGACACAGAAACTTAGTGGGTCATAAGTGCTCCTTAAAAGGGGTCCCGCCCCTGCCCATGAGGAAGGAATGCCAAGCAACCACACCGGACAGGCCTCTGGCTTTCCCCACATCTCTATTAGCCATCATGCCTATGCAATGAAGTTTCCACAAATGCCCAACATACCCTGGTTCAGAAAGCTTCCTGACCAGAAAAAAAAAAAAAAAAAAAAAAAAAAAAAAGGAAATTGAGACACTGGCACGCCAGATAACTGGTTAGCCACCCAAGGGCAGGTTAGGTATGGGTCTCATGTTACCCAGGTTGCTCCTGCCTCAGCTTTTTGAGTAGCTGGAATTACAAGTGTCCACTACTGGACTTAGGTTTCTTTTCATTTGTTTTTGTTTTTTGCAACCTGATCTTTACTGTCCTGTAAGCAGTCAGAATTTTTCATGGAAATAATTTTGGCAAACAGTTCCTGTGGAACTGTGCTACTTGATTTATTACGTGATCATTTAAAATGAAACCTTAAGATGAGAACAATGGGAAATATTTAAATCAATTATTTAGTTTAATGACAATAAAAATTATTTCTAACCTTTTCAGTGGTATTCATGAGGTAGACATGACAATAGTGCAGGACAAAACTATCCAGGCCTAAAAGCCAAGACAGGTTGATTTCCTTCAGCCACAGTCAGATAGGACATGAATTGGTAGAATAATTTTGATGACTTAATTTAAATCACTTTTGCATCAAATCCATGTGACATCAATGAGAAAGGATGAAAAAGTCAAATTTCTAGACTTTGTAACAAACGCGGGGAACAAACCATGATCATGTGAGAATTCCTTACCTCATAATCACTTTCCAAAAATTCATGTAAGATCATTTCATAGATGAGTGGTTTCAGGACTGGGTCCCCTCTTGGTAAGTAAGGACTGATTGCCTAGGAAGGAAGGGGCAGAGTCCTTTCAGGAGTAATATGACAGCTGCATCCCGAATGTGCAGACATCATGGTTTCAGGACATAATGGAACATCCAGAAAAGATTCAAATAAACTCTATCACCTTATAGAAAGCTACAAAATATTTTAAAAAGACAGTGTGTGTGTGTGTGCATGTGTATGTCTGTATCTGTATGTGTATGTGTTGGCAACAAAAGTACTTAAGTGATCTCATTAACCTTTATTCTTTTCTTCTTGATTAATGAAAATCTAATCAATTATTTTATATTTCTCTTTAATTTTCCTTATATTGGATGTAATATATTAATTAATCCTTTAAAATTCAATCATCTTATGAAGCAAGCTTTCCACAAATATATGAAAATGCTACAATGAAGCCCATTTCTTTATAAGTCAACTTTAAACAATAATATAAATTTTAAAAGTATATTCGTAATTTCAATAGAGTATTCAAAAGGCTCACAGATGAAGAAAACTTAAAAACCCTTTAAAGGAATATAAAAGTGACTGGTATATATGTTGTGCCCCCGCTGAAAAGATGAAGATAAAGTGGTAAAATTTCTCGTCGGAGCTACAGTCAAATGTTTTCATCTGTCCCCCTGCATGTGACAGACCACCCAAGCATCGAGAGTGAGCTAAGTGCAATCATTTTTGAAGCCCCTGGTTCTAGATGAACACAACAAAAGAATAAAAATGAAGAATAAATTAATTCTTAAGTAAATTTTAAAAGTGTTATGCTACAAAGTCTATTAGATAAAATTACAACTATTCCCAAGTCACTAAAAGGAAGATACACATGTAACAAGGTAAGTATCCATTTGATACAAGCAAAATATAACATTTAATTCTTCTTTCAAGAAAATGCATACTTCCCAACCAAGAATTTCTTTGTCTCAGTTTTATTCTTATTTTAATAAACTACAATGCAAAAATTAAGGGTTAAAATAAAATAGCTTACTTTAAGTTGTCCAATTTCTTTAAATTTGTAAACTTCATATTCCCAGAGGGCTGCATTTTTTCCAAGAATTTTCTGGCATTTTCTGGCAGCAAGAACATCCCAGGAAGAAATAAAATGTAAACAAAAATAAAGAGATAGCATAAGTGGACATTTCCCTAGTGGTTTAGGTAAACCTTTCTCTTCTTTATTGTCAACGTACTTGAAGGTGTCACCATTACTTATCTGACTATATATGGAGTTAACGGAAATCACGAAAACTATACAAAATACTACAGAAAAAGGCAGGTCTCTTTCAGAAGACTAGAAGTTCCCTCAACTTTGCTATTTATCCAGAGAGCACTGCTGTCTTGGACTTTATATAGGAAAACTCACTATATCCCAATGCCAACACCTTTCTGGTCAGCTTTAAAGAAGGAGGTGAAAAAGCAGACTAGAAAATCAGATCCCCAGCCTACCACATAATTTACAGGGCTGAATTTCAATCGCAGGGCAATAAGGGCAGGTCTGAAGGCAATCTCACAAGCTTTATCATTTCCATTTAACTATCACACTTTTGTGAAGAGCCATTGTCCTTCGGCTATATGCAGAAGTACTTGTTTTAGTGGTCTTCCAAAGGCATGTGTAACACAATTGGCCCTAAAACCTGGAGGATACACAAAGTATAAACTGTGGGCAAGTCTGCTTACTCTCTACAGAGTGATAAAGAAGACATTCTAACTCAGCAGGCCAATAAGCAGTCTTCCTGCCCAATGTGTGCTGTGCTGTGCTGTGGAAAGTGGGACTGGAGTTATGCGGCACAGGCTGACACTAAACTCCTGCTAATCTGGACAGTCCTTTAACTCTGTGCAGAAGGACCTTTTCAATTTGAAAGAATCACTTATATTTATTGTTATCATCAGCCATAAATAACTGTGAGGATGTCGTTATTACCGTGCAGCCATGTCATATTCTCCTCTTGCCACCAGGTGGTTCACATATGCCAACCCAATATCCTACAGAAAGGCAAAATGAAGTAAATTAGTAATGCAACTAAAACAACTGAAGAGTTGTGTGTCAGTTTCTAAGCAGACAGGACTTGGTGATCCCGTAAGAACTGTGACCCAAGCCTGTCTGTGCCATAGCTTGGCTGATATTACACTTTAGCACATTTATATTTAATGTACTTATATTTGTTTTATATAAATTTTAATAATCAAAGTTTTAAAATTTGAACCTTGTTTCCATGTGAAAATCTTCTAACCTTTCCCCCTCAGATATGCTCTGCAGAAGAAGTCTTTGATACTAGAAACAGCCTAAAGTTATCACTGGATATAAAGGTTTGCTTTTCCGTTGTCTTCTGTTAAATGTGACCACTTCCACAGAAGTCTAAGATATGGAATGTAATTCTCTCTCAGCTCCAAGGACACAATGTCTGCTGCTTCATCTCAGTTTGTCTTGTATGCATTAATCCCTAAATGACTGCATTCCTGATCCTCTGTTCTCCAACACCACACATGTGCCATGGATGGCTTTGTCCAAACCAAGGGAAGACGGATGTGTTTACTGCTAACAGCACTCTACCAATTTTGACTCCACCAGCATGACTCCAATTACACAGCCCTGTGCAGACTTCATCTTTCTACACAAACTACACCAGGACTCCTAAGTGATTCTCATCCCAGCTGGCCTCCCTCTCTGATCCTTTCTCCATTAATCTGCCATGGTTAGACTAACCTCCTGGTTAGTAACATGAGGTTAAATTGTCTTCTGCACATTCTGAAAACAGAACCAAGTTTTAAGTAGTATGTCCCTTTAGAACCAAGTCTAGCTTTACCTCTTCAGTTTTAAGAATTACTATTCTCCTCAACTCTATCTAAAAGTAAAAGATCTCTAGCTTTTTTCTCTTCCCTTTGTTTATTGTTTTTCTTATGTATTCTTTAAGAATTAATGCCTTATATATGTAGTTTTACAGAGAATTTTAGGATGAACAAAATCATACAAGAAATTTGTGCTGAAACCCAACTAGCCATAAAAGGCTAAATTTCTAGTATTCATTTGTAAACAAGGGTAATGGACTCAATGTTGTGTAAGGACAGGACTCTTCATATGTAGAGGATATGATTTCATGTCATGTCTTTACCTGCAAAATTCACTGTCACACTTAGCAGAGAAATAGGTTTCTAGACATTGTACTTTTGCAGAGTCAAAAATGTAATAAGATTGTATTTGATTTCCTAGAATAGTCTCCATAATAAAAGCAATTGAATTTGTTATCAAGGCCACACCAAAGCAATCTAGTTTGAAGAGACAAGTCTTGATACATTTTGTGATAATGTGATTTTACACATGATTTAAAGAGGCTTCCAAACATTCAACTGGAGAGGTTTGTACTGAAAGTGCATTGCCCAAATGCAGTTTCAAAATTTCCTAAAGCTACATCCTAGCAAGTGTTGAAGTCTCTTGTTTACAAGCAGAAACTGACTCAATCGAATGCCCTCCCAGATAAAAAAATTAGTTCAAACAAATTATGAGCAGATACGAAGAACCTGTTCTTGTTCTTTTCAAATCATTGTTTTCTTAAGCATTAGTAAGAACAGCTAGGTTTCAAAAATGATGCTACACTTACCAGAATCTTGTGTCTTTTAATGTTCCTTTGGCTAATTTCAGCTGCCATCAGAGCTTCCTATGATTACACAAGCATCGTGGTGAGGGCCATGTAAAAAAAAAAGGAGAGAAAATGGGGGTGAATGGGAGAGACAGCAAATACAATTATAAACTGATTATTATGTTTTAACTTCTGAATTACTCAAATAAAACCTCATTTTCTTGTAGCCATTGCTTAAGGCACTGGAATTTTTAATGTTATGGTTGAATGAACTTCATGGAATTTAAATTAAAGATATTCAACCAAAATGAAGACATTTTTGATTTTTCACTTGAATTCATTCCCACATAAAAGAACCTGGAATCTCATTTCATAAACAAATCAAAGTAATAAAATCCCTTAGAGTTCAATCAAAAAAGGATACCTGTCATTCTAACTCTGATGACCTAGACAGACAAAGGGTACTTTTCATTTATGTTTCAATAAAGGCAAACAACATACATATATCTTCATGTCTACAATTAAGCTAATGGAAATCACATTATATTTATATTTCCAAACACTTAGCAGTATCAGTTTAACATAAATATTTAACGCATACACTAATTTCATAAAATGTTAGTCTAGGGGCTAGAGAGATGACTCAGCTCAGAGAGATACCCACACCCAGAAACAAGTCTCTCCAAATGCCTATCTATAACCCTAGCTCTGAAAGTAATGACACTGGAGAACTAGACTTGCTGGCTTCCAACCTAGCAGAGAAAACTTGACCACTGGATTCAGTAAAAGACACTGCCTTGCATAAAGAATAGGCAGAGTGGTAAAGGAAAGATCATACCATCTTCTGGCCTCTGTACAGATAAACAAATATAAACACCCATCCATATATGTACATACATTCACACAGATATGCACACATATACAAATAAGGAACTAACTAGATAAATGTAAGAAACACTAAAATATTACTTAATCCAACACAATATGGTAATAGTGTATTATATACTAGGTATTAATACATAACAACTGGATTCCACTTTACAAATTAGTCCTTTCACATAAACTAGATACTGTTGCTTTCTGCTGACAGGCACACAAAAGCATCCAGAGTCATTCTAAGAAACGAAATATCTTGGCAGCTATTACAGTTGTATAATATGTTGTTCTAATCCTAAAATCATTTATGTTGGTACATTATCTACTTAAGCTTGTTGAAACCACGGCTCAGTGAAGTAGACAGCATCATTCCACCCAAATTAGTTCAAACCATTCTAAGTAAGAATAAATTTGGTATCTTTTCTTTATACACAAAATAAGGATAAAATGAGCAATTTTATGAACACATTCAAAGTGAAAAACTTATTCTACTTTAATTACTTCAGGAAAATTATCACAAAAGTTTTAGAACATTAGCTCTATTTGACTCCCTCTTCTCTGAACCAATCATGCTTCCCCAACCCACCCCTCAACAGAAAAGCTGGCCAACCAGACTGCATGCTTTTTGTTCTGTGATTTCTCACAGAGAGACTATTTTTGGTTTGGAGCACACTAGCTCAATATGAAAGATTTATTATAAAAATTTTTTTCTTTATATGTTCAGACAAGTCAATACTTTTAAGAAAGTGAAATCAAAACTACTTCATATTTCTTCTTCTCAAGGAGCCAGTCGATATGATCATCCTGGTCTCGTTCCTTGGCTACGACGACGTCTCTTGGACTTACAATGTAGAAAAGTGATTCCCCTTCAGAGTATTCTAGAAGGGAGGACAGAGAGGACAGCTTGGGTGACTCAATATTACAAAGAGGCAAGAGTTTCAGGGGCTATAATTAGCCTATGATTTCAGACTCAGCAGTCAATTATCTTATCAATCTCTGCAGCCAAGTGTGCTTGACTCTAAAACGTCAAGGAGGGTGAGAATGGAGCATGTAATGCTCTTGAACACAGCACACTGTAAAACTATCGAAGAGGAGGAAGGAGAAAGAGCTACAAGAAAAGACTATAAACAAACTAACCAACACAAATAAAGTTTAAAATTCTAGGTTTAACACATTTCCATTGCCATTCTACTCTTACAGAACAATTACATCCCAGTCAACAATAAATGTTTCCTCTTCACTAGAGTCAAGGCCATGTAATGCATAAGCGACAGATGCCCAAGCCCTGGAGACATAATCTATCATTTTAGCAGGTACCTACAATGCCAATCCTGAGTGTTTCCTGCAGAATTCAATTATAAAATCCACTCTGAGGGTTTCTAAACATACAACTAAGTTTGCTCTGAGCAAAATGCCCAGACTGTATGCTTTTAGTTCTGAATCATAATTGTTTTTTGCAAAGTGCAAAATATCTCTTACAGTTTTTTAATTAATTTTTAGAGGGTTCATAAAAGAAGTGTCAGATGCATGTATATTTTTGCATCATTTCTTTGTCCAAATGAGAAGTAAAATTATTTTCATAAGATGTCTGTTGTTTATAAAGCCAGAAAGAATTTCTAAAGAGCTTAAATATTTCCTTTTCTTCAGTGTATGACAGGGATATGAAGACAGACTTCCCAGGTAGGACTACAGAGCCAAGGTTCTCCTTTTGCTCCTAAACAGTGAGTGATTGCGTGTATTTATCCATATCCACCCACCTACTCTGCAAATACTCTACAGTCCCTAGTGATAGGGTGGGAATCTTTCCATTGTTCAGTACTCAGCTCCGAACACAAGGACTTTGCTGCTACCCACAGCAAATCTTCCAGGAACATCAAATTTGGAATGAGCGGAAAGCTACAGAGTAATGCTGCTTGATATAAAGTTAAATATCACTTACACGGGACAGGGCTGGGATGTGCTGAGTGGCACAGTGCTTGTCTAGCATGTTTAAAGCCAAGAGTTTGATTCCCACCACAGAAAACATAGGTAGGTGACTAGCTGGTTTGATGGAACAACAGAAAAAAATAAACACAGCAACAACAACAAAAGAACCCACTTTTCACTTTCGTTCCTGTCCCATCTCTAACATTCCTTTTTTTCTCTCTATGTGTATTCAGGTCAGATATGCAATGTTTCTGAATCTAGAACTCTAGCTTTACTGGCAGAGGCCAGCCCAGGAAGGCACCTATATTTAAATTTTCCATGGGTGAGCTGAATAGAAGGGCGACAGAATAAGTACAAGAAAGAACATGAGCAGATAGATCCCTGCTGTCTCACCTAAATGATAATCCCTACATTCGTTCTCCTGAAAGCCTCTGACCGTCAGAGCATCAGAGGAGATCTCTTCGCAAGTCTCAGGAAGTGGCTGGATGATGTCCAGTCTTGGCCTGGCACAGTATTCTTTTGCCTAGGGGGAAAATGATAGAGAACACTCATTTTACTGATGTTTCTGTAGATTACACAAATGACCATGCTATCCATACTTGCTTGAATTTATCATTTCAGTACAAACAAGTCCTTCTAAATACTCTCCACAAACAGCCACCTAATCCTGTCTTATGTTGTGTTTTTTTGGGTGAAATATTCAGAATTATGACATTTATGAAGTGCACTATCACAGAATCCAATCTAAAAGCAGTGGTGGCTGATGAGACTCTGCATCACTTGATAGCATTTAGAATCACCATGGAAGCACATTTCTAGGTATGTGTATAAAGATATGTCCAAAAGCGTTAAAGTGATCAAGGAAGAGTTCCCTATTCCAATGTGAGCTGCACCATCCCATGCTCTGGGTCCTCGGCTAAAAGGAGAAGACAAGTCAAGCATCAGCATTCTCTCTGCTTCTGGAGTATGGGTGTGATGTGATTAGCTGTCGCCACTAGTCCCCCTCCAAGACAAGCTGTATTGTCAAGATGTGAGACTACATAAACCCCTCCTCCCTTAAGTTGCTTTTACGTGGTCTTTCATCACAGCAGTGAGAAAAGTAATGAATCTATGGCCTAACACCAACAAATATAGCTTCATTACAGCTTGTCTACACAAATATGAAGGAAGGTGAAACAGTATTACAATGACTTCATAATCCAAATCATTGCTAATATGAGGAAACTTACTCGAAGTGCTAAAAGGCCATAGATTAAAATCCATCTCTAAACCAACTCTTGTTGAGTCAGTAGAATTGCCTGCATTTACATTGCCATGTATGGAAGATCTTAGTCTCAGATGGCTGCTGAGCACAGGCAATGTGGCTAATGTGACCAGGGAACTACATTTCTAATTTTATCTGACTATAACTAGCTTAAGTTTAAGCAGTACAAATAGCCAGTGACTGCAGTTTCTGAAAGTGAAGCTCTAGGTCATGGCAAAGTGAAAGATGAGCTGACATTTCTGAAGACCAAGGGTGATGATACACAGATCACTCACTGGGTTCTCAAATGAAACCTGAAAAGCGATCAAGCATTATTATTCTCAATCACATAGACTGATGGTTAAAATAATTAAGATCGAAATTAAAGAAGTAAGGCTAGGATGTCTGGAAAAACTGAGACTTATGGTCAACAGTGGACTTCTGGATCAAATGGGTTGTGCTTTTGGGATATGGGCACTGCAGGCGTGAAGCCCACTTGCCATCAACCTACAAAGGAGCAACAGAGAACACACAACGGATTCTGGTATGGAGTGAGAAGATGAGAGGAACAAAAACCAAGAGCTCTGTCTTTTACATAAAACAGTGGAGCATGGATTTCTGAGTACTTTTGTACTCAGGAGGCATTATACCAGCTTTATAGCTCCTGATGGGGCTACCGCTACTGAAAATCTATTGTATCAAGAAAACATGAGGAATATACATCATAATTTATCAGATCTTAGAAATAAATGGAAGAAAAAGAAGTCTCAACTTTTAACCAAAAAGGGGCAGAGTGAAAGACAAGAATATTTTTAAATAGCTTAAATGAAAATGATTTTAAAATCAAAATCATGACAAGACGGGAAACATTTGAACCTTCCTAGATCATATATGAAGCTTTGAGGGCTAGGAATGTAGCTCAGTGACAGGGCACCCGCTAAGTATATGGGGGACCCTGCGGTTTGATCCTTAGTACTAGATTAGGAAAGAAGGAAAATTCTTTTATATGTGTTGGAGATATGTATCAATGTGATCCCTGTCACGTTACAGTTCTTGCTCTGGGTCCCATGGTCCACATTCTTGTCTATGAGTTTCTCAAGAGGAACAATTTAGTTTTATCACTGTCCCCTAGTACTTTGGAAAAATTCAATTCTTAAAACATGCTTTTTTTCATGAAGGAAAGAAAAGCAAAGAATTGGGGAATAGCTTTCTGAACTACAGGACACATTAACTGGAAAGAAGAGCACACAGCTACTAAGCATGCTCACAATGAAAGCCACACCCACACGAAGAGAGGGAAATACTGTGTAGAAGAATAGAGGCACACACAAAAGGAGCAGTAACTGCCTCAGAGCAGAGACACTGTGCCTATGAGAGGTATCACACGGGAAACACTTGAGGGAATTATTGAAAAGCCAAAGGAAACAGCCAGTGAAAACCTAATAGAAACAGATTTTCAGTATGAAAAAAGAAATTGGGTAATGGTATAACCAAAGCTGACTGTCATTCATTTACCCTAGTTTTAGTCACTTCCTCCATATTTAAGAACTGACAGCACACACTGATGTTAAGAAGTGAGTCCCCATACACCAGCACACTGCTGTCTCCCAAGCTCTTAACGTCTTCTTTCGAAAAACCATCCCTTCTCTGATCTGCCCTATGAGGACAGCCTTCCTTTGGTTTTCTCCTTTCCTATACTCTTTATTAACACAGGCTTCCCTTTTTCTTTTCCCTTTTTACTTTTTTTGATCAGTTTATTAGCCTTTCCCTTTTCCAATTTTATTGCTTCTTCCCTTGTTTCGTTCAATCACATCCTCAATCTGCCCCACATTCCTCATCAAAAAGCACTGTTCTTACTCCCTCAGGAACCTCTGCTTTTCTGTATTTTCAAAAAATAAATAAAATAATAATAAACCGATGTCCTGCAATAGGGCTAGAAGCTAACCCTATTGATTTTAGGAGGTTTGAGGGTTCACTTAAGTCTACAGCATTTCATTGCCTAGCAACATGGGCACCCAGAGCTTCAGTTACTATAGTGATGGCTTCCTAATGCAAGTGTTTTCTCAGAGAAAGGCTCAAGTGCAGCCACCACTTCACAACAAGGGCTCCCTGGGCTTTTCTCCCCCATTTTATTCCTTGCCATTTGAGAGAGAGAGAGAGAGAGAGAGAGAGAGAGAGAGAGAGAGAGAGAGAGAGAGAGAGAGAGAGAGAGAGAGAGAGAGAGAGAGAGAGAGAGAGAAAGGAGGAGGATACAAACAGGGAGAATACACCTGCCTGCTTACCATGAAGGGCTAGAGAATCAATTGCAATTTCTTTTATATACAGCACCCAAAAGGAAATCCTTTACAACAGCTCTCCTTGCTTAGGCCTTGAAGCTGCCCCTCTCCCATTCCAGGCAGGACCTGAACTCTAACAATAGGCTGGCTGGGAATGGCACTGCTCTGGGCTTTAGAGGGAGCCTGGGTGTCATTAAATTCCAGCTGAGAGCTTCATTCCAATGTCATGAAAACAAAACTTGGTTTTATCTGCTGTTTTCTGCTTGTAACACATTTCAATGTCTATAATCTGCACTGACGAGTGAGCAACAATCCCAGGAATCGAGCTACTGAGAATCATCAGGCCACTGGGAGGTAAACAAATATGTTTGGACTCCAGAGAAGAAGGAGCTGCCCTTTCAGTAATTCCCTCTGGCCACTGGGATCCCTGTTGTTGCAGTGACCAGTTTCGTTGCTGTCATCTCTGCTAATGCAAAGTCAGCTTAGTTTCTTTGTCTTTCAGCATGAGGGATCCTTTATTTCTTTCAACTAAAATATCAAGTGACTGATGAAAAAGAAAAAAACAAGAAACAAGAAGAAAAAAGGGCTCACTTCTTTGTGCAGCAAAGGGAACAAAGACAGGCAATGAGAGTGACTTCTGAAGGTAAATATGTTAGTCTGCAGGGGAATTTCTGCTGGGCTTATTTCATAGGTCAAAAAGTTCTGTTGGATTATAGCAATCTCCTCTGACAGGCAGCCTGACCTGGGTGTGATGCTAAAAGCCAACTCCTCTATATCCCTCTGTACCTGGGGAGAAGATAATTACCGTTTTTTCTGAAACCTCCTTTACGTAGGAAAGTACAACAAGCTGATCACAGAGAGGTGCAAGTCCACTAATGTAGAATTCAGTTTCAAACTGAGACACTGCAAACAAAAGGGAGAAAGGATTCACCATTAAATGGAGCAAAAAAGGTGCACATGATGGCAAAGACACACCAACTGTGAATGCTACAATGCATTTAAAAATGTCTAAAGTGGAAATAAATGCTCAATCCCCTGATGTGATTATAACACATTGTATATGTGTTGAATTATGAGACTACACTAAATATGTGCTGTAGGGTGTCTCAAGTTAAAGTACTTTCACCACGCAGCACTAAAAGTGCTTTACAACAATTCATGCAAAGAAAGACATGTAAACCTGAAAGTTGACATCACAGACAAAAATAAACCCCAAGTCTACATGCTTTGACGTCGGCACATCACATGAAGACTCTTTGAAACAATGAAACCTAACATTAACTATCTTTAATAACAAAATAATAATAAAACTATCCTTAATAACAACATTAATTTTAACAAGTGGCTAAGTTCACGTTTTTCTTTCTTAGAGGTGAAATGCAGTGGTGCAAATAGTACAATATAAAGCATTACTTTGTTATTGGCTTTAGACATTTTATTTAAACACCTTTGCATACTTACTTTTGTAACTTATATACAGAAAAAAATAATAAACTTTCAAAATAGAACACTTAAAATTTAAGAAGAAATATTATTAGTATAAATATTATTAAGAAGTACTAATGTACTTTAAAAGTGTTATTATAAGTTAAGAAGTATGCACATTAAGGAAATGGTTCAGTGTGTAAGAATGGACTCTGAAAGCATGAGGATTGGAGTCTGAATCCCCAGCACCCACATAAGAAGTCTAGCATGGACACATGCATCTACAGTTCCCAAAGCTCACTGGCCAGTCAGTTTAACTGAAATGACAGCTTCTGGTTCTTTAGAGACCCCGTCTCAAGGCAACATGGTAGTGACAGAGGAAGCCACCTTCTTCTGGCTCCCCGGGTTCCAACACAGGTGAACGCTCTCACACAATCAAACACAACTACCATGTACACACAAAAGTACAGCCAGGCCTACTGGTGGCGCTCTCCATTTCCATCTCTCCATAGGCTGAAGAAAGAAGATCACAAGTTCTAAGACTGTTATGGTTACAACATGAATCCAAGGCCAGTCTGGTTATCTTAGAATTTGTTTCATGGCAGAACATAAGAACAGGGCAAAGGACCCAGCTCAGTGGTAGACTGCTTGTCTTGTCTAACATGCTGGAGGGACTGTGTCTAATCCCTAGTACTGGGAGGAAGGGTACCTGCACTTATTCCACAGGGGAAATACAAATGCTTCTATGCCTGATTCTGATGACTCCATGATGCAAACTAGAAATCAGCAGCATTTAAAAAGACTTGAGTTTTGCGGGGGGGGTCCACTTGTGAGTGGATTTGCATTTGGACTTATCCCATTATCCCAGAGTTTCTTAATTCAGACTGTCTCCAATGTTCTGGCTATCTGCTGCACTTCAGTTAACATCTATGACGAACATACTTTCTTTTACCAAGTTAGGAGAACTTAGTCATCATGCTCAAAGAAATACTGAAAGCTTGTGTACTCTGGAAATCTGGGTCATAACTTCCACTGAACTGAATTTCAAGTTACTTTAGTCAATGTGTAAAGTTTTCTCACTTGAGAAGAAGAAATAATAGGAAAAAACCTAAAATACAGATGGAATGAGGGGCAAAAGAACTTTTTTTCCCCTCCTTTCTCTTTCCTTGTTCACCAGAGTCCCTTGATTTTCTAGTCTTTGTTTATCTTTATAACCATCTTCATAATCTAAATTCCGTATTAAAAACAGCTGACTGAACATTACTAACATAAACTTTAAGATAGGCAAGATTTGGAGACAGGGTCCTATATTGCCTAGGTTGGCTTTGAATTTGCTACATAGCTGATGATGATTTGAATTCTGCTCTTACTGTCTTCACCTGCTAAATGTTGAGTCATAGATGTACCATCATTCCAAGCTAGGGCGGACAGTAGTTCTTATGCCTTGTCATTGACTGGATGATAGAACTGGACGTGGTGTCCTGATACAAGTCCAACCGCAGGTGCTTAGGGCTTAGCCCTGCCACTAACATTTTCTTTCACTTTGGTAAGCTTGAGCTGGGTGTCATAAAAACAGCTTTGATAACAAGGTAACATGGGAAATGGTCACAAATAAGCTTATTTAAGAGCCAAGTCCACTTCAGTCACAGTGCGGAAAAGGGGATGCCCAGGGCAGGGTTTCTAGAGATGCTTGAGAACAGGGGGTGGGAGATGGTCATGAGAGAGGGCAGTGTACAGATCTGGATGGGTCAACATTGGAATCATTTATGGAGAAGGTGGCAATCTCATCCACCTAGACATAAGCAAATTAACAATAGAGTTTGGCGGCCATTATTTTAACTATTCTGGTATAAATGGAGTTGAGTTCTGTCTCACTTAAGTGCGACTATACAGTTTCCTTGCCAACAGTTTGTGCAAAAAACAATAATTAAGAAATGCCACAGAAACCCTTTTCATAAGGGCCAGGAGGAGGCCTATTTGTGCTTGTGTACTAAGTGTACCCAAGGGAAAACAGCAGCTAAGCACAGAGGAATGGTAGATAATGAGGCATGAGGTACTGTCCTCTCTGGAGATCACACGGCCTGCCCAGACTAACTGAAAGGTAGTATGAGGCAATGTCTCAGAACGGTACCTAAATTTACATCAAGGCATGGTTTTTTAAGAATAACTTATTAATATAGAACAGAGAAATTAGGATAGTATCCTATGCAAATCTTCACTCCACTCCATATCCTGATTTCTTTAGTCTACATTGCTTACATAAATAATATGGAGATTTCAAGACCTTCAAGAACATAGATAGAAACAGTAATATGTTCTTGAAAAAACAAAGAGAAGACTGCAGAAGTGCATCTGAGATTCAGGTAGTAACTGTGTAGTTACAGACACTAAACTATCAGATGACCAACTGTATGTGATGATCACTTTGACAGAATAATAAGGAAGAAATATGCTACTAAAACTAATAGTCAAGACTTCAGAAATGCAGGAGTTATCAACATCTAGATAAAGCAAAACATTCTGTGTTGAATCGTTCCCTTACACCACCCACACCCTTCTTAAAGAAACAAACTGCAATGACAGCAACATACAGTATGGTCTACAATGAAGAGTTCTAACTGTTGTTCCTTAACTGTGGCTACTGGGCCATCCAGTAAATCCTCTCCCTTAACATCTATGAATAGAGATATGTCAAAAATAAAGAACAAAAAGCTCTCCTTCCTAATCTGAGTTGTTAGTGTGTGAAGGTGCCTGCAGCTACTGTGCCTTAAAACACCACAGAAAGAACCTTGCTTTTCATTTATTGTCCTTGAGGCAACAAAACAAGAGTGTTTTCAGATCTAAAAAGTGCTATTTATTTTTCATATTAATGCTAAGTTAAAGAAGGGATGACTAGAAAACATGGTACCAGAATACATGTATATACAAGGAATAAAAATTATTTCTACAGACATAAATGAAGAAATGTTGAATTATTATATTTATTCTTCATAGCAACATACATAAAATATAAAATATTTATTGACTAGCTTTGCAAAATCTTATAGCAATTATTAGCTTTATATTTCAAAAATAACTTCAAAAAATGAAGTTTTCCTTTCCTGATATTCCATTTATATTATAGAACAATGATTTTAATAATTTAATAGGCCTTGTCTTTTTCTAAGGGAAAACAAGTTTGAAACAGGTAGATTAACAAAACTAATTAGGCAGAGCGGTGGTGGCGCACGCCTTTAATCCCAGCACTTGGGAAACAGAGGCAGGCGGATCTCTGTGAGTTCGAGGCCAGGCTGGGCCAACATCCTCCAAAACAATACAGAGAAACCCTGTCTCGTAAAAACAACAACAACAACAACAAAAAAAACTAATTAGACAGAAGTTCACATTTAAATGGATTATTGGGAAAAGATAAATCTCAAAGAAACAAAAACAAACTGTTGGGTTATACAGTACACAAAAGAGAAACCAAAGATTGGGAAATGAAGGCTGAGAGAAAACTAGTTTCTAGGAATCACAGAAGACAGAACCTACACTGGAGATCAAGAGCACCTAGAAAGTGAAGAGAAGGTTCTGGGCCCCTGAGGCAGGGTCCCATGTTTCCACAAACAGTGTTTGCTGAAGAACCAGTGCTGGTGGGAACTGCAACTGAGCATGGCCTCCTTATCTTGACACAGTTTCAAGGCTTCCACACTCCTAGTGTCCTAAGGAAGCAGCATCTGTAGACATGCTGTAAGAATCGGTCAGTAAGTAGACTAAAGTGTCTTCAGAAGAAAGCAAATGTCAGAATTCAATGCCTTCCTTTTCCAAATAGACAGATGGCACATTGAACAACGTAAGTGGGAACACAGAGAACCAGAGGTTACATGTATACTATACCGAGAACAACAGTTGAAAACTTGAGATTCTGTGATAAAAGTGCCCTGCCCTTCTCTAGAATTTTCTGTGCTGCTTTAAGGGCAAACACACTGCAGGGCACAGAAGCTGCACTGCTCCCTCTTTATCCCTTTGCCTTCCGCAAATGCCAATCTATAAGGAAGAACGGTTATCTGCAACTTCTCACATTCCATTCTAGACCCTTTCAAGTGGTCTTGTAACAAGGGACTCCTTCCCTTAGCCAGCAGGCAAAAGCAGGAGCAATCATACACAGAGAGTTTTCAGTAAGTCTAGACACTCGGTTGGCATGCCAGTGACCAATAAAACACTTTTGGAATCAACATTTCAATAGCCCCAAGAATTGCTCTAAAGCACACACAATGAAGTAAAAAGTGACATGATGCTTCATACCAGTAAATATAGACCTGATACATGAAATGAAAATTGAAGAGATTGGCTAACACAAAATAAGAAAAACATTCAAGCCAACAGGTCAGAAACCATTTAAGGCAACTTGCGTTTAATTTAATCCCATATTCTCTACTTGGTATCTGTTACATTAATCTTTCATATGTTATATTTCAACCCCCCCCATAAAGCCAGTG